GCGCGGAGCACTCGAGGTACTTTGTCGCGCCGATGGTCTTTGCCATCTCCTGCCCCTCCTCCAGACTGATCGGTGTCTGGTTCTGCTGGCGCAGCTTCGCAACCGTGGTCCCATCAGATCGCAGGTCGAGCTTCGTGCCGACGAGGATGAACGGGCAGTTTGGGCAGTGGTGCTTCAGCTCGGGGAACCACTTCTGTTTCACGTTCTCGTACGAGGGGCGCGAGATGAGGGAGAAGGCGACGAGGAAGACGTCCGTCTGCGGGTACGAGAGCGGTCGCAACCGATCGTAGTCTTCCTGCCCTGCTGTGTCCCACAGCCCAAGGTTGATCGGCTTCCCATCCACCATCACATTCGCGCTGTAGTTGTCGAAGACGGTGGGGATGTAGTCCTCTGGGAAGGCATTCGTGGTGTACGATATGAGTAGGCACGTCTTGCCGACCGCACCGTCTCCCACGATCACGCACTTGACGTTCGTCATCATGGCCGCCATGGCGGCGCCGGCCGACCCGAGCCGCCTTCTTGTGCTCGACCGAAAGGAGGGTTTTTCGGCCGTCCCTTTTAGTTTTTTTTCTCTTTCAGCTGTCGCGTTCACCCCTACCGCGTTGGTGTCCAGTCCGAGCCTGGCTGTTCTTCACCTTTCTTCCTACCTACCTAGCTGTTCTTCACCTTCCTACATACATACATTCCAGCTGAATGAAGTAAACTCCACACACTGCACAATCACATGGACTCACGCGGCCCCTCTATCTATCTACCTCCAAAATCCCTCCGATTGGCACACACACCTAACAACTCTAACACTCACACGTCATTTGGGGCCTGCCCCTGCAGACTGTGCCCCTGCACATCGCAGTTTATGGTGGTTTAAAGTTTGGGGGGGGGGGGGACAGCTTTGGGCGGTCGAATTCTATTTGGGGGGGGGTTACGACGGTTTTGGGGATCCTGCCGACGGCACGCTTACAGTTGTAGCCCCACTGCACATAAGATGGACACCTCAACGGGAGGGCACTCGCAGCAGGCGGGGCCGAATCCTGCAGCCTTAGTCTTGGCCCGATCCGGCGGCATGCCACGGGTAGGCGCGTTGAGGCTTGCCGCCTCCTCTGCGCCAACGCGGCTTGTGCCGCAGGTTGCGTTTGCTGCCAGACAAGAGGAGGAGCAGGGCCTTTTGGCGATAGGACCAGGCAATCGTATTCGCCCGGCGGGCGTTACACCTCGGCAGTGTGGGCAGGGCAGGGCAGGGCAGTGTGGGTTTCACACCCGGGGCAGGTAGGGGATCGCTCGGGCAGGGCAGTTGTGCGGCAGTATGCGGGCAGGGCAGTACGGCAGGGCAGGGCAGGGCAGGGCAGGGCAGTTGGGGTCATAATTGCAGAGCTGAGATTTGGGATCTCAGATGGTGAAAAAAAAGGGGAGACAATTGCTGTGAACATGGAATTTGAATACCAATCTCAGTGAGATGTGTGAAGAGGACGGCCGATCGACCAAACACACGCGCGAGCTGGCGAGCTCATCTGCATCTCAATCGAATCTCAGGGGGGCGCCGTGTGTATAACGGTCGCGTGATACTGCGCTACGCCTCGTCGTCCTCCGTATCGAGCCACTCCACCTCCGACTCGTTCACCACGTTGTCTTCCGTCTCGGAGTCGTCGTGCAGCGGCCCGCCCGGGTTGACGACGTTCACGGTGGCGCCGACAGGGATGGTCATGGCCGTCCGCTCGAGGCTCGCGACCCAAAAAACAACAACTGTCTCTCTCATCGTACCCATTCGCCGACCACCACACTGAGATGAGACAGCCAGCCTCTCTTCTACGCCTCTCTCGTGCCTCGCGGCGCCTCTGCTTCAAGGTACCAAGGAGGGAAGATACGGCTCTCGCAGCCCATCATACGCCGTGGCACAGCGGGGAGCGCAGCGGGCTGTACAAGATATTGTTCCCTATCTTCGCATGCTCGTCGTTGGTGATATCCGCGCGAGGTCATACGCCACAGGCCAGCCAATCACTCGATGATGAGGCTACACTGATGTATAGGCGCGTGTGGTATTACAAGATAGACTCACATGGTCACACGTCTTTAGTAAAACGCCAGCACTCGACACGACGAAGGTGTATTGGGCTCGAAGGCGCGGTGAACACAACCGCCTCGAGCGTACCGCTCAAACACGAGCCGAGGGTGGAGGGGGGGGCGGCGGCGAAGAGGCGGGAGAGCGGGGTCCAGTGCGCTCTGCTGCTGGGGCGGTCGGGACCCCCCCCCCCCCCCCAAAGAGAAAAATTTTTTTTTTTGGGGGGCTTTGGGGCCCCCCCCCCCCCCCCCCTAGCAGCACAGGGATGAGCTTTTAGTTGTGCAGGGGGGGTACCGAGCACCGAGCAGTGTGCGGCCGCTCCCGCTTCCGTCCCGCCGCCTCGAGCTCGATGTTCGGAGCTCAGGTGTGCTTTTGAGCTTTGCCGCTCGACGAAGAGGCGGAGCTCCCTTTTCTGCATTTTCACACTTCCTACATTTGTACATAATTATCTTCCTGCGCAGTATAACAAACAAGTACAAAAACACACGTACCGCACAGACATGAGACATGCATACCGTACTCTGTGTGGAGCTGCGATCGCGCGCGTCGTGTCCCAGCTCAGTGGCTCGCTGGGTCGAGCAGCTCGCCCTTGGGGTGCTGCAGCACGACGGTGCGCTCCTCCTCGCAGCCGTTCGACGTCGGAGTGATTTTGATGACCGTGTTGAGCGGGATGGAGACGTGGATGCACTCCTCGCGCGGCATCCCCATGAAATAGGCGAAGAGCACGCGGTGGATTGCCTGGTGGGCCACGATCACAACGGGCTCGCGGGAGCGCTCGAGCTCGTGGGCAAGCGGCTCGAGGCGGGCGATTAGGTCGGTGTACGACTCGCCGCGAGGGTACCGGTACTGGAACTTGTCTGCCCCGCGCGCCTCCGCCTCGTCCGGGTAGTTGTCTGCGATCTCCTCGTAGGTCATCCCGTCGCACAGGCCCGCGTAGAGCTCGTCGAGGTTGCGGAAGGCCTTTGGCCGCATCTGCACCCAGTCGAGGTGCGCGCCGTCCGAGGTGGTGTACGAGACGACCGGCGTGGAGATGTGCCGCGCGGTGCGGCGCGTGCGCAGAAGCGACGAGGTCCAGAGACGGCACGGGACGGGGGAGCCGTCGGCGGCGAGAGAGACCTTCGCGTCGACCCACTCGCCGAGCGCCTTTGCGGCACGGGCAGCGGGGCGGCGGTGAGGGCGGCGGCGCGGAGGGGAGAGGCAGCGGGGGTGGCGGCGGCGGCGGCGGCGGCGGCGGCGGCGGCGGCGGCGGCGAGGATGGCGGCGGCGGCGGCGGCGGCGGCGGCGGCGGCGGCGGCGGCGGCGGCGGCGGCGGCGGCGAGGATGGCGGCGGCGAGGGCGGCGCCTTTGCGTACGCCTCTCCGTGCGCGGTGAGGTCCGAGTCGCCTCCGATCTTTCCGAGGCGGTTGTACTCGGACTGGCCGTGGCGGGAGAGGTAGAAGGAGCGGCAGTCGACATGCAAGTTGACGAGGAACTGCGAGAGGGGCGCGGGCGGCGAGGGTGGTGAGGGCGGCGGCGGAGGCGAGGGAAGCGACGCGGCTGAGGGCTGGCCGACGCGTGATCTCGGGTCGTCTCGTGCCTCCGCCTGCGAGATGCGCGAGGGGAGGAAGCCGCGGATGTTGTTCATCGAGAGCTGGCGGCCGCCATCGACGATCTGGATCCAGGCGAGGTGCTTCTCGGGCGGGCCGAGCTCCTGATACACCTGTCGGAGACCGACCGAGACGACCCGAGGCTGAGTGAGATTCGAGGGGCAGGCCCATGGGCAGGCCGCGAGCCTCTCGGGCCCTCACCTGCTCGTAGTGCCGTATCCGCGCCTCGAAGTCGGCGATGGCGACGGCCGGGTCGACACCCTCGTAGTCGTGATTCCCAACCTACCAGCGGGGCGGGGCGGTCAACCAACCCGGCAGTCCGCCGAGGCTCGAGCCGCGCTAGGACGCTCTCCTTGGCGTGCAGGATGGTCTGCTGCACGAGCCTCTCGTCGCGGCAGACCGACTCGATGAAGATCACCTTTGCGCCCGTGTCCTTCAGCTGCTCCACGAGCCAGGCGCGACGGCTCTGCGTCGAGTTGGTCGCGTCGAAGATGGCCAGCGAACCAAAGTCGCCGCTCTGATGAAGCTTTTGGTCGAGCCGCTGCTGTTGCGACGGCGTCTCTCCGATCCACCTCTTCAGGTCGGTGAGCGCCTCCTCGCACGCCTGCGCCCTCGCCTTCATCGCCGCCTGGTTGCTGCTGTCGAAGAAGTCGGCCATCGAAGTGGTTCGCGCGATCTTCCGCCGGTAATCTCCCACGTTGAACACCTTGGCCGGCGCGCCGTAAAAGAAAGAGACATAGGGTGCGAGCCGGCGCGATATGTATGATTTGCCGCGCGCAGGAAGGCCGACCATGATGCAAACAATCTTGTCGCTCTTGGTGGCGTACGAGGTCGGCGGACCCCACGACTGAGGAGTCGGGTTGTCGTGCGAGGCCGGCGCAAGCGAGGGCGAACGCACAAACGCGACCGGCGTTGGCGGTGGCTCGTCCGACATTGACGCTGCGGGCTGTGCTTGGTAAACTAGTGGGCTGCGCTAACTCGTCGTGAGCGTTGCTCAGCATATTGCTCTCAACTCGTTGGACGGGAGGGTCGTGCCAAATCTCGCGGATAGTTTTTCTTTTTCGCGCCGGACACAGCGAGGATTGCAAGGACCCAGCTGTGGCATGCGGAAAGTGCGGAATATAATGCGCGTGGGCGGAGGGCGTGACAAGCCGTCTTCCCCCAATTAAGGTTTAAGCTGCGGTGCACCGTTTTTTAAGCTCGGGTGAAGCTCCGGGGAGTTACCCCTGTGCAAAAACGGGGTGATTTGGAGAGGGGCCCGGCGCGACCGTTTGCGTGCGGTACAGTGTGCGCCGTCCACGACTGTCAGTTTGTCAGCGGTCAGGTTGGGAGCGGGGAGGCTGGAGGCTGCGGAGGTTGCCTCAGGCTCAGCGCTCAGGCCTCAGCGCTCAGGGCGGAGCGCGAGCGGGAGGTACAAAATGGTTAGGCGGGGGGGTTGACTTTTGCCAAAATGGAAGGAACTAGCCTCAGCCACTCGCTCTCTCTCTAGCGCATCTGCGAATCTACCTGGTACCTCCTGCTAGTCAAAGTCAAACTCGTCCGGCACGGGTCTGATTGGGGTGCTGACGCCGCCCACCCTGGTGCCGCGCCCGCCGTCCCAGTCGACGCCAGACTCGCCTCGCGCGGCGCGGGCGGCGCCGCTTTGAGCGGGCCGCGGCACCGACGAGTCAGTCCGCGCGAGCTCGAGCAGGCAGTCGACGTAGCCGAAGCGGCCCGAGTTGGACCCGATGGCGGCCATTATCTCCTCGAAGCCCATCGCCGTCGCGGGAATCAGCTCTCGCTTCCAGTTTGTGAACTGCCGCCCACCACCGACCGTCAGCAACGCGCTGTCGCCGCCCAGCACCACCGCGCTCGTGCTCAGCAGCCGGTCGCCCACCCAGATCCGACCGTCGTGTTCGGCGTTGCCTCCATCCACGAGGTCCGCGACGACGACACCGCAAGCCTTGCCCGGCTCCACCTCCTCAAACGCGATGCCGAGAGGCGTCCGCAGTCGCACGCGGTATCGGGCGGAGGCGGGTGTCGCTGCGGCGAGGAGAAGGCACGAGATCGCGTGACGCAATGAGATCATAAAGAAGGGAGTAGGACACGAACTGACCCCGCTTGCTTATCTGTGCGGTGCCAGCGCTGGCGTTGCCCGACGCCGCCTCGACACCAGCGGCAATGTGTGTGTTTTGTGTGCTCACACACTCAGACCACGGCAAGAGAGTATTCCGAGCTTTTCTCCTTGCTGTCCGACGCTCAGCGGTGGAACGCCCCCTCCCCAGGCAGGAGGATTGGTTGCAAGGGGACTCTCGAAGCAAATAAAAAAGAAATTCCCGCAAGCGTTGAGGGCGGCAGGTAGCAGCCCGACACCAGCGTCCCCCAGTCCTCCGTGTGCGACCTAGCAGTCCGGCACAGTGACCCCCACGCGACCTACCCACCGCCATGTCCTTCGCGCCACCCGGTCCTCCGGGGTACTACACTTTCCGCCCGGGTCCCAGGGCGCAGCTCGCCACGTGGACGGACGATGAGCCGCCGGCCGACGCGCCTGAGCCACCGCGCTGGTGGGGCCACAATGAGGACCTGTACAACAGGCCGAGACGGACGAGAGAGACGGTGCGCACGCCCGACTGGGATCTCAGCGATCGGGCGGCGCCGCTCGGACGGCGCCACAGGCCGGTGGCACTCGGCGCGTGGCAGCCCGCCGGCGAGTGGCAAAGGCAGACCACCGCCAAGCACCGCGCCGACCCGTGGGCGGCGCCAGTCGTCGGCACGCGGCGCGGCACACAGTCGTGGGCGCCGGCGCCGAAGAAGCCGCCCGCGAAGCAAGCTGGCGCCGGCCGACGGGTGCGGCCGTACGTGGCGTGGTGTGACGACGACCCTCGAGCGCCGACGCCACAGCAGCAGAGGCCGCAGACGGCGCCAAGTGCGGCGGCCTCCAAGCGCAGATCCCGCGCTGGAGCGTCCCCGGCCACGCCGGCCGCCTCGAGGCCTGGCACCGCGTCCCGCCCGCCGCGCCCCGCGCTGCTCGAGCCAAAGCAGGCGCGAGGCACGGCGCCAAGGCGGGCCGAGGCGCGGCTCGAGGACAAGCGCTCGAGCAAGCCGGCAGAGGCGGGGGCGGCGAAGGCGGGTGCAGCCGCGCCGAGGGCGGCGCGGGCCGCTGAGGAGCCGGCGCCGCGTCCAGCCCCCGCCTCCGCCTCCGCCACCTGCAGCTCAGACGGGTCTGCGCAGACGGCAGTCGTTGGCGCGCCGGCGGCGCCGCTGCCACTGCCGACGGGCTGGACGCGGCTGACCAGCGCCAAAGGGGCCGCCTACTACTGGGAGGTCGGCACAGGCACAGTCTCGTGGAAGCCGCCGCCACCGCCGCCACCGCCGCCACCGCCACCTCCCCTGCCGCCTCCGCCGGCTCACCACCCCCTCGCCGCGCCGGCGGAAGCGGCGGCGGCGGCGGCAGAGCCAGCCGGCGCCTCTCGAGTCGATGCTCCTTCTCCCCCGCACGCTTCTCCGGCGTCCGTCCCGCTCCTCGCCGCCGCAGCCGCACTGCCTGCCGCGGGCCTGCCCACCGACCGACTGACCGCCGGCTGGCTGCATCCCGCTGCAGTCCCCGCGCCGCAGCACCGCGCCACGCCGCCGCACGGGGGTGCGCCCCTCCCGAGGCCACCCGCGCAAGCGTGGGGTGGTCCGGGCGGCGCCCTCTCGGCAGACACCCTCATGTCGGCCTCGCTACCGCCCGCCGGCACCGCCTCCGGCGCCTTCCCTTCCCTCGGCCAGCTGGAGACCCTCCCTGTCCACGCCGCGCCGCAGAGCCGAGCTGTGCCCGCGCCGGCCGCCGGCTCCGCCGCCAACGACGCGTGGGAGCGGGCCGTGCACCAACACGCGGCGCGAACGCGCGAACGGCGCGGGCCGCCCTCGCCTCTTCTCACCGCCACCATCGCCACCACCGCCGCCGCCACCGCCACCACCGCCACCCACCCCTCTTGCGGCCCTCCTCCGCCTCTCACCGAAGCCGAGCGCGCGCCTCCCCCACCCCGCCGCCTCTCCTCCGCAGGGCTGAGGCGAAGGAGGCAGCCCTCGCCGCCGAGGAGCGAGCGCTCGAGGCCTCGAAGCGCCGCTCCGAGGTGCCCCCCCCACCCCACCCCCGCCCCTCCCCCTCCTGTTTGACACACGTCACTCGACACGTCACTCGAGGCAGACAGCGAGCGGCTTGACGGCGCCGTCCCCGCGCGCCCCCTCAGGTGCTGCGCAAGGCGATGCACGAGAAGCGGCGGGCGGAGAGGGAGGCTGCGCACCGCGCGCTCCTCGAGCAGCAGGCGCACGTCTGGCGCGAGAACCTCGCCCTCGCCCGGCAGAACCGCGCCAACCTCCTCCACTGCTCGTGCGATCGGTCGACGCTCAGCCCGTCTGCACAGCACGGCGACGGGGGTGGCGCCAATGGCGGCGGCGAGGGCGGCGAGGGCGGCGCGAAGGGCGGCGCGGGGGAGGCGGCCCACGCGATCCTCGGCCCGGAGCCAGCGAGCCTCGTACCGGCCTCGCTCGACTTTGGCGAGCTCCCCTCCCCGCCCTTGCGACCCCGCTCGCCGCCGCCGCCGCCGCCGCCAGAAGGCGGCGGCCAGACGGGCGAGGGCGCCGTCGTGCGGTGCGCCGCCACCCGGCACGCCGCGCCGCCGCCGCCCGCTGCTCCGCGCAGCGCCGCTTGGACGGTGCCTCCGCCCGCCTCGGGCGAGGGCGGGCCGCCGCGGAGGCAGAGGCAGCAGAGGCGGCCTCGCTCCCCCCCTGTGACGATCGTGGCGGTCGACTGGCCGCCGAAGCCGCCGCCAGAGCCGCTTCCGGCGCCGCCACCGGCCGAGGAGGCGGCGGAGGTGGAGGCGGCGGAGGTGTCGGCGCCGGCGGCGCCGGCGGTCGACTTCGAGGAGGAGGAGGCGTCGCCGGGCAGCACCCCCGTGAGCAAGGCGGTGCAGGAGGTGGTGCTCGAGGTGCAGGCGGCGGCCGCGGCCGCGGAGGAGGGGGGCGCCCCGGAGGAGGAGGGCGCCCCGGCGCTCGCCGAGCCGCCGACGACGGCAGAGGTCGACCCCGACGCCGGCTCACAGCTGCTGGAGGTTTCGTCACAGCTGCTGGAGGTTTCGCCGGGGGAGGCGTTGCAAGAGGCGGACTCGCCGGCTCCGCTGCGGGCGGCAGAGATGTTCTTGGACAGCCCCTTCGCCTCGCATTTCCTCCGGCAGGCTGTGGCCGCATCGTAGGCATCGGTGCTGCGCCCCCGCGGTGCAGGGTGGCCTACGATCAGTTCTCCTCTGGATGCGCCAGGCTGCCGAGGGGCCCAGCAGGGGGAGCAGGGCGGCGCGAAGTCCCCCGTCCCCGGGCTCCACATACATGCACATGTGCTACGGGCTCTCAATGACACTCAGCGACTGTAATAAATAAATAAAACAAACCAAAACGAGGCGTGGGCCGTGGCGTGCGGCGTGGGAGAAGGACAGGGTCCCTTCAGGGACAGGGTTCCTCCCACTGCACGAGTAGGATGACCTTGGGATCAGGGACAGAAAGGCGCAGAAAAAACTCGAGAGAGAAAGAAAGAAAACAGAAAACCCAAGGGAGGGATAGAAACGCCATTCCACTGACAAGCTGCCGAATTTCTTTTTCTGGGAGTTTGGTTGTAAAATTCTTTTTCTGTGTGTGCAAAGTCGAAAGTGGCGCGTACTTACACGGCGAGGATGGTCTCCTCCTCCTCCTACGCGGCGCCCGTCGCCGTCGTGCTTATCGCAGTCACCCTGCTGCTGCCGGCCTCATGGTTTGTCGCCCAGTGGCGCTCTGGCGCACTCACGATCAGCGCGCGTCTACTGCGGCGCGTGCGTGGCATCGTGCTCGTGCTCGTTGTCGTCGTGCTCTTCACGGCTTCGACCATCGTGCTGCAGCTGGTCTTCGAGGCGGAGCACCACCGCAAGCCCTTCCTCATCACATACATCTCCTTCTCGATGCAAGCCCTCTACCTGCTGGGCTACCGCGTGCGAGCCGCCGCAGCCGTCGGGAGGCTGGTGCAGGGTTGGGGCGCGGCGCAGGGTGGGTACGCTGCCGTGCGGCACGTGGGCGACGAGGCCGGCCTGGAGATGGCGCAGGCCTGCGCACCGCGCCGCGCCATCGGGTCCGGCGGAGGGGCGGGCGGGGACGCTGGCGCCGCCGGCACCGGCCGTCCCTCCGAGGTGCCCTCTGAGGTTGGGCTCGTGTATGTCGCCTGGCGGCTGGGCGGCCTGATCCTTTGCGCGAACCTGCTCTTCAACGTGAGCCTGCAGTACACGAGCGTCTCCTCCGCCACCGTGATCGCCTCCTCCTCCGCCGTGTGGACCCTCCTCTTCAGCGCGTGGCTGCTCGGAGAGCCCCTGTCTCTTCTTCGAGTCGCGTCTGTCTCCTGCGGCTTGGCCGGCGTCTTGCTCGTGGTGTACGGAGGGGCGGGCGAGGGCGCGTGGGGTGACGACGAGCACCACCACCACCCGCACGCCGCGCGGGCGCTCGCGCGCATCTCCCACTCCGCCGCCGCCGTCGCGCACCGCGCGGAGCTAAAGCACGCCCTTGGCTCCGCGGGGCTGGTTGCTTCGGCGGCGTGCTACGGCGCATACACGGTGCGGCTGAAGCGGGAGGTGCCGTCCGAGAAGGAGGCGCCGCTGCCCTACCTCTTCGGCCTCATGGGCGCCTCGCTCCTCGCGGCCGGCCCGCCGGCGCTGCTGCTGCTGCACGCGACCGGTGTCGAGCGGCTCGAGCTGCCGGCGCGCGACAACCTGCTCGCCATCTGCGGGAACGCGCTGCTCGGGACGGTGGTGGCCAACCTGCTGCTCGCCCGCGCCGCCCTCCTCACATCACCCCTCGTCGTCGTGGTCGGCCTCTCCCTCTCCATCCCTCTCGCCATGGCCTCCGACGTAGCGAGGCAGCGAGAGCGCCTCACGCCGGCGCTCCTCGCCGGAGCACTCGCCGTCTGGCTCGCCTTCCTCGGCGTCTCGGTCGCCCGCGTGCCGAAGGACGGCGGGCTCCTCGGCCGGATGTGCGCGCATTGCCCGACTCGCTGCAGGCATTGCGCAGGACTGTGGTGAATCTAGAAAGGGCCGATTGAACATTGATTGCACCGGAGTGCGGGGACTTTTTCGTCTCCCCCCGCGAGGCACGTATCCTCTGTCTCAGCGGGTCTCACCCTCCACCCTGCCACCACAGTACACCCCGCTCGCGACCTTCTTGGGTTGGTCGCGCCGCCCCGCCCCCCCCCCGGGCCCGGCGCGCGGCACACCACTCGACTGCTCCCGTGCCGTGTCGGGTGTCGGGAAAAGCGAAAAGAAGCGCCGGAGGAAATAAATCACAGTCATGCCAAAAACTTTGAATATGTCGACGGCGCCTTCTCATCTGTTTGGAATTGTCAAAAAAGAGAGACACTGACCGCCTCGCACTCGCAGATGAGCTCCCAGCGAGACGGCTCCTCGCAACTCTCCCCGACCCCAACCCTCAGAGTACAACTCACCTCGCCCCTCCCCGCGCCCCAAACACAAGAAACGGCACGATGCCTAACGCGCACGCCCTCTCAAACAGGTGTCAGCAGCGCCCCCCGTCAGCGCCCTCCTCCGGCCGCCTGCTCCGCCTCCGCCTCGTCGCCGCGCAGCTCGGCGCCGCTGGCGTGCGGCGGCGGCGGCGGCGCCCAGGTGAGGCGGCCGAGGAGGATCTCGTCGTCCGGCAGCGCCGCGAGGTGCGACATCTGCGCCAGCAGGTACTCGGCGAGCCACAGGGCCGCCGGCTCCGCGCTGCCGGCGATGCCTCCCTCCTCGTCTGCGTACACGTTGCGGAGCAGCACCTCGGCGAGGGCCTCCGCCTGGGGTCCGCCTGCCGGCTGCTTGAGCGCCTCGTCGAGCGCCTGCGCCATGCCGTGCCACGACAGCTGCAGCTCCTTCTGGTACTTGAGCGCCTGGATCAGCTCGAGCCCCTCCCCCTCCACGGCGTCGCGCATCCCGTCGTACTCCCACAGCCGCTCCAGCACCTCCGAGACGAGCGCCTCGACCCGCTCGCGCGGCAGCGGACGCAGCCGCACGTGCACCAGCCAGCAGTGAAGCCCCTTGACCTGGAAGCGCGTGTAGAACCGGCTCGCGTCGACGCCGCCGGAAGACGGGTCGTACAGCTCCGAGAGGTCTCCGCGCCGCCGGCATATCCCGTGGATGTCCTCGCCGGCCGCCGCCTGGTACTGCGCATCCGTGAACATGCCACCGAGCCGCATCAGCCCCGTGCGCCACCACGGGCCAGCCTGCGAGTGGAGAGGAGAGTGGGAATTGCAGGCGGCTCGGCTCGGCGGCACCTTTGCAAGGCCTGCAGCTGCTGGAGCCTTCCGACCATGGTGGACGGGTCGGCGAGGCGTGTAGCCGTGCAGAGACGGCGCGCGGCATGATGAGCCAGGGCCGCGTGGCTGGCACGGCGCGCGGTGGCCAGGCTGGCTCGTCTCATATGTTGTAGACCACACCTCCTCGCCCTCTCTCTGCTTGTCCGTGCAGCCCTCGCAGCTGCGCGTAGCGTGGAGGCATAGAATTTTCCAAGAAAGAGAATTTTTCAAGCAAACTCCGTGCACAAAGAGAAAGCAGGTAGCTAGGGCCCCTGCAACCTCCTGCCCATACAGACATGGGTGCGAAACAACGACAAGACCAAGGCACGGGCAGAGGAGAGAGAAGAAGAGAAGAATATAGGGTGGATAAAGCGCCTGCGGCATGGAGGGTGAGCCACGCTGAACGTACTGAATGTAGAGCCGAACGCGGAACGGCAGGAAGCCGGGGAAGACGACCCCGAGGAGGACGAAACACCTGTGGTAATCCCGTCGTTACGCTGTAACGATGGCACCCGGGGACCCCAGCCAGCGCCAGCATCATCCGTGCACCGTGGAGGCACAAGTGTTCGAAGAGAGAGTGGACCTGAGCAACGATATGACTTGGCGGCAAATGATCGCAGTCACGCAGTGGGCGTCAGAAGAAGTCGTCCTTGTGCGCGAGGAGAGCTCGATAAACTCGAGGGATAAACTCGAGGGCGGGCCAAAATATGCCGCGAGGAGGGCGGAGCTGCGCCGAAAGGCGAAAGAAGCCGCGAGAACAAGGGGTCGGCAGGCGGCGGCGGCGTCGCAGAACGAGGCAGAGGAGAGCGACGCGACAGAGGAAGAAGCGACAAGGGAGAGAACGACGAGAGTGGGACGACCGCGAGGTGGCATGAAGGTTGCAGCGAGAATCGGCGAGAGACTGCGAAGAGAGATAGGAAGAGGCGGACGCCCTGAGGGAGGGTGTGAGGATGTAGAGTGATCTGTGATCTGTGAGGGTCCGCCCGCAGGCGCATTTTGTATACGGAGGCGGTGCCCGGTGCCGAGCGCAGGCAGAGCCCACAGGTCGGACCTTAAGACAGCGTTGTAGATCCCTGGGCGAGGGTGGTGGAGAGGGCGGTCCGGCGGCGGAGCACCCACCTCCTCCCGGCGTGCCGGGAGGCAGGATGTCATCCCCCGTGATCCAGACCGCCCCGTTGGAGGTAGGCCGCTCGTCTAGCCAATCAGCCTTAAGCGAGCGGCCTGGCCGTTGGAATGGCCGGGTGGAAAGAGGGGCGGGGCCTCGATGGCCTAGTTAGTTGCCCGGCCGAACGTTCGGACTCTTCCCCGTGCGGGGCCTCGGCGTCCTAGTAATCCGGCCGGCCGTTCGGTCTCTTACCCGTGGGCCCCCTCTCGTCGGGTTGAGGGGAGGTCGACTGTCCCTGACGGCGAACCTCAGTTACGAGCCGCCCTCCCCCGATGCGGACATGCGGGGAGGAGGTCAATGACCTGCCTAGTCGCCCGACATGCCAGGCATGCCGACCTTTCGGAGCCCCCCCTCGTAGACGTGTGCCGCTGGGATCATTCCAGGATGTAGAGTGTAGAGCGCTGTAGAGCTGTAGTGTGTAGAGCTGGAGAGCGCTGGAGAGCTGTAGTGTGTAGAGCTGGAGAGCGCTGTAGAGCTGTAGAGCTCTATCTACATCCGGCGCGGGACGAAGCGCCTCCGCTGTGCGTAGAGCGATGTAGAGCGCGATTTTGCTGTAGAGTTTGTTGTAGAGGCTCTACAGGTACAGGTACAGCCAAACCGCCGGGAAGGCAGTGACTCAAAGAGGTCGAGCCGCGCTAATGCCTAATGGTTGGCCTGTACCCATGTTTCCGGAAACCAAAAAGGAAACGAGAGGGTCCCCAGCACTTTTCGTTTCCGGAAATTTCCAGGGAAATCAGAGGGTGTTTGGTGCTCCATTCTGGCAACTCTCGAGTTTCCCTGAGTCTGAGAGCTGGTCTGGGCCAAAATCTGAGGCGAAACCGAGGAAACCGGCAAAATACCGGGTATTTTCCAGGTATACCCGGGGTCTTCCAGGTACCCGCAAAATACCCGGTATTTTGCCGAGAGTCGGCTGATTTGGGCCCAAACCAGCCTCAGACTCGGCAAAACAAACTACTCGCTCTCTTTTATGTCCCACCATGCAGAGCGCATCTCTCTCTCTGTTGTGCGAGGCGTGAACCGCGCCATTCGCTCTCACCTGGCAACCCTGTCTGCACGTCTCGCGCGCGCGTGAACAGGGCTCCAGGCCCCAAATTACGTGTGAGTGTTAGAGTTGTTTGGTATTGCTATAAATCTCTCTCTCGACTCGGCTCAGCCCGTGAAATTGACGGTTTTCGCGGAGTTTCCTCGGGAAACTAGAGAGGAAACGAGAGGGTGCTGTAGAGAAACACGGAAAGGAAACGAGATGGGGTGAGCGAGGAAACATGGGTACAGCCTAACCTAATGGGGTGTCTCACTGGTTGGGTAGTAGTCTAAGTTCTGAGCCTGGAGGCCTAACGGGTCTAAGTGTGGCTAGCCACGCTGGAGTGCTTGCGCGGTCTAAGATCAGCGGGAGCCTCTTACATCGGCTAAGTCGGCCGTGGACGGCCTGGGGCCAAGAGGCTCCCACCGTGATCAACGTACAACGATACGGCGCAGCCCCCAAATTTTCTTCGCCTGCGGCGGGCGATCGATCCTTCTCATGCTCAGCAATCGCCGCCTCAGCATCCTCCTCTTCCGATTCTCGTTGCTGCTTCTTGAGCGCAATCTTCGGCGACTTCTCGCCAAACAGTTCTCACAAATAGCCTCAAGCTCAAACAAACGCGTGTCAGAGAAGCCTGTGTATGCTGGTCCTCTTTGAACGATCCGCGCGTGAGGTAGCATAGGGCCTTGTTGGCAGCAGCCAGCTTGTTGCGCTGCTTCGTTGCGATGAGCTGATTGGGATCGCAGAAGTGCATGCCAAGCACCGCCACGATCTTGAAGCAGAACACATCGCAACCGCATCGTCCGCACTGCCATCGGCATGCCGCGCCCGCCGCTTCGCCGCAACCGCCTTAGGCACGCATAGCGGCAGCATATGGTACGTTGCGCGTACTTGAGCAGGCGTTGCGCGCCGCAAGTAGCGCACTGGCCCTGGGAGAAGGCGATATGGCGTCGTGCGCGGCAAACGGCCTTATGTCGTCTAAGTTCATGGCCCCCGACCATGAGGGTCTAAGTCTGAGCCCGGCTCCGTGCGGGGGCTAAGTTGAGCGCTCGCTCGCTGCAGAGGCTAAGTGTAGAGCAACCCTCTAGCCCTACTACCCAACCATTGGTGTCTCCGAGCTTACTGGAGCTCTGATGGACGGCCTTGACTATCCCTGACACACAGAGAGTCACTCTGACGGCACACAACACCCTATGACAGCGTCATGACCAGCCTTTTTTACTGTTTTTACAACGCGCTCCCTCGCACAACACAAGGTGCGCAACAAGCTCTCGAAGCGGCAGCACGAGGACGAGGCGAGCTGGTCGACGCGGTCGTGGCTTTCGCTGCAGGCCCAGCGCATGTCAGTCGCGCTGCAGCTCGCGGCGGCGGAAGAGATTGCGACCGAGCTCAGGCTCGCCGCGGCGTCGGAGGACGCCGCCGTCGCCTAGACTCCCCTGCGTCACTACGTGCCTCCCCGTCTTTGTAGCCTGGCGTTTGTGCCCCGTTTGTGCCGCGTCCCGTGCCCCCGAGTTCATTTCATAGAACCTCGCACAACACTGGGCACGGGACTGGCTCGCACTGGCACTAACAGAGGTACTGTGCAAAAAAGAAAAACAATGTATTCTACGCCATTTCGCGGCAGCCGAACAGCTGCGAGGCTCACGGCATGATGCACTTCGGGCTCGGGATCCTCCCCGCGGCGCTCAAGCCAGCGCTTCGCGTCGGCCCGGCCGCCGCTCGCGCCGGCGGCGTCATGCGCGCCTCGGTCGAGTCGCTCGGCCGGCCTGACGTCGTCGTGGTGGGCGGCGGCTTTGGCGGGCTCTACACCGCGCTCCGCCTGGCCAACCTGGGGTGGGAGGAGGCGGAGCCGCCGCGTGTGACGCTGGTCGACCGGAGCGACCGCTTCGTCTTCCTCCCCATGCTCTACGAGGTGACGACCGGGCAGGCGTCCTGCTGGGAGGTGGCGCCGCGTTTCGAGGAGCTGCTCGCAGGCTCCGGCGTCGAGTTCGTGCAGGGCGAGGCGATCTCGCTCGACGCCGAGGCGCAGCTGCTCTCTGTGCGGCGGCCGGAGGAGGCAACGGCCGGAGAGGGAGGCGCCGCCAACTCCTCCGGCACGACGGCGGGCGGTCCGCTCGCTCTTCCGTACGACGCCGCCGTCCTCGCGCCGGGCGCAGTCCCCTCGTTTGGCGGCGTCAAGGGGGCGGCGGAGCACGCGCTGCCCTTCTATTCGCTCGACGACGCGCTCGCGCTGCGCGAGACGCTGCTCCCGCTCTCGCGCGCCCCTGCCGGCGCCAAGATCTCCGTCGCAGTCATCGGCGGCTCTTTCGTCGGGGCGGGGGCCGGCAGCCAGCGCGTGTGCTGCTGGCAGCAGCCCAGGACTGAGCGGTCCAATGCTTCGAGCTAGGTCGAGCTGGCCGCCAACCTGTGCAGCTGGCTCGGGGACAAGGCCGACCCTCCCCCTCCTCCACCGCTGTCCTAAGGACCTGTTCGGAGCCTGTTCTTGGTGCCCTCCCCGCTAGGTCGACCTCTCCCTGATTCACAGGGCAGAGGCGCTCCTCTCCTCGTCGAGCGACTTCAGCAGGCCGCCCGCAGGCGGGCGGGAGGGAGGGCGACAGTGCCTCGTCACACTTGCTTCTGCTGCTGCTGCGGGTAGGCTCGTCGCGCAGGCGAGGCTCGAGGAGCGTGGCGTGACATGTCCAGGACATGTCCAGGACACCTCTATGACATGTCCCATAGGCGAGGCTCGAGGAGCGTGGCGTGACAGTGCACCTGGAGACTGCAGTGGACGAGGCGGCATCGGAGAGAGGCGCACTCTGGTCTGACTCGCTCATCCAACCTTCACCAAGGGCTGCTGGACTCAGGTTGCCCCGGGGGAGCTCACACTGTGCGGCGGCACCGCGCCACCCTCCCTCCCGGCAACCCTCCCGCGGCGCGACTACCACGTCCTGGACACGCCCCACCGACGCCCAAAACACGTCCATGTACAGGCGGACTTGGTGGTGTGGTGCGCCGGCTCGCAGCCTTCGCCGCTCTGCGCCTCGCTCGGGCTGCCGGTGGACGAGAGAGGCAGGCTGCTCACCGACCGGCGAGATCTAGCCGAGATTGCCCGAGATTGCCCGAGATGTGGACGAGAGAGGCAGGCTGCTCACCGACCGGCGAGATCTAGCCGAGATTGCCCGAGATTGCCCGAGATGTGGACGAGAGAGGCAGGCTGCTCACCGACCGGCGAGATCTAGCCGAGATTGCCCGAGATTGCCCGAGATGTGGACGAGAGAGGCAGGCTGCTCACCGACCGGCAGCCCTCGCCGGAGGACGCACTGCCGTTGGGCAAGATTTCTTGTGTGTGGACGCGCAGCTCTTCTCTGTCAGGTAACTCGCCGCGGTTCGTCTGCATGTCCATCGCTCTCTTCTTCGGCATTCCGAGCCTTCATGCTTCAGGTACCTTTCCGTGGACGGGCTGCCGCACGTGCACTGCCTCGGCGACGCCGCCTGCTCCGCCGACAGCAAGGGACCGGCGCCGCCATCGACGGCGCAGGTGGCGGTGCACCAGGGCGCGGGCCGCGAGGGGCTTCTTTTTCGGGAGCGGTCGGGGTGGTCCTGTTGTGTAGGCGGCGATGCAGCAGGCGGACTACGCTGCGTGGAACACGCGCGCCGCGCTGTTGGGCTCGCCGCCGCTGCCGTTCCGCTACACAAACTTGGGCGAGATGCTCTCGCTCGGCAGCGATGAAAGGTGATCTCGGGTGATCTCGGGTGATCTCGGTAGGCGAGATGCTCTCGCTCGGCGGCGAAGACGGCGCCGTGTCTGCGCTCGCCGGGTTGGTGCAGCTCCGAGGGCCGCTCGCGTCGTTGTCGCGCAAGGCGGTCTACGCGGCGCGGATGCCCACGCCGGCGCAGGCGGCGCGCGTGGGCGCGTCGTGGGCCTTCGACGCCGCCCTTGGCGCCGCTGCGCTCGTGGCGCGCGGCGCCGGCGGGGCGGCCGGCAAGGGGCGGCCGCGTTCGTGAGCCCCTCACACTGAGTTGCTGGAGCTCGAATCTCTGCCAGCTCTCAGCTGAAGTCAGTGTGACGTGTGTGCGTTGTCATTATATACGGCTTGCGCGGCGCTAATTATATGCTGACGTAGAATGTTTTTGCGAGAATCTTTGTGCCGGCATTATAACGTACCACGAGGCATGGACCACCATTGACGCATTGAGCATTGTGAGGCACATCACGTTCACGAGATGCCGACTCGTCCTGCCGAGATCGGAGATGCAGATGGAGGCGCAAGGCCCTTGGCCCAAGGCAAGATACTCCATACAGATACACAGACAGTGCACCTTCCTGTCCCCCTGCTACACCGCACACGGCACAAACAGGCGCAGCAACAGGTGGGTACGCAGATGCGGTTTCTCGACTGTAAATTCGGCCGCCAAAATTCTTTTCATGATACCTAGGTAGGCTAGTTGCGGAATCGCGGAGGGAGAGTCACGCCGCATGTTTGTCGACGGCGAGGGCCGGCTCTCCAGCGCACCGTCTGAGGAGCTCGAGTACCTCAAGAAGACGGGCATCGACGACTATCTCTTCGCTGCCGTGCGCGCCACGGCGGCCGGCGGCGCGACAGAGCGGCGCGAGGCGCTGCTCCTCATCTCGACGCGGCTCGCGGCGGAGGCAGAGGCTGCCAGCGAGCCGGCGAAGGACGGAGGTCTGCGGCGGCGCGGTGTCCGCGCGGTGAAGGAGTCTCCGGCGGCGGAGGCGGCGGCGCCAGAAGAGGTCGAGGAGCCCAGCAGCGGCGGCGGCGGCGGCGTGGCTGGCGCGCTCCGCCTCGTGTGCGAGCGGACCGGCTGGCTCGCGTTCTTCCTCTGCGGCCTGCTGCTGTGTGAGAGGGTGATGCACTCGTTCGGCCCGCTGCTCTAGATGCGTAATGCGGATGGCCGTGGTCCAAGTCGCACTCGAGAAGACGTGTCCGCCACCTGCATTCAGCTGCCGTTCGGCTGTGCTGCGAGCTGTCTTCGCGGTGCTCCGAGTGCACGGGATGCTCCTACTCACACGCGCTGCCTCTGGTGCACTCACGCAGGCGCGCTTCTCGAGCGCGAGATCGAGCTCGCCTTCTTCGTGCCCCTCATCATCGGCCACGGCGGCAACTCGGGAGGCCAGGCGGTCTCCACTGTCATCCGCTCCATCGGCCGGCGATCGCCCTCCGGCTCGGAGGCGATCTCGACGGTGGCGACCGAGGCGCTCGCTGGCGCGCTCCAGTCTCTGCTGCTCGGCTGCCTCGTCGGCCCCGCGCTGCACTTCTTCCTCGACACGTCACGCGCCGTCTCGACGGTCATGGCAACCACGCTGCCTCTGCTCGGGCTCTTCTCGAACTGCACCGGGGCGATGCTCCCGTTCCTCGTCACTTGGGCAGGCGCGAGATCCGCCGAGATCCGCCGAGATTCGCCGAGATTCGCTTGCTTCCGCTCCTCCTCTCTTTGCTTCTCGATCCCGATCGCACCTACCCCTCACTTTGCGCACCCGTGGGCGCACCGCCCCTCTCCCCCCCCCCCCCCCCCCCCGGGCCACCCACCCCTCTCCACCCCCCCGCAGGCCTCGACCCTGCCGTGATCGTCGGGCCGCTGATGACGACGCTCGTCGACACGCTAGGCTTCAGCCCCCCCCCCCCGCCCCCCCCTTTGCGCGTGTGCCACACCCCCTGACCGCCGGTTCCGCGCGGTGGTGTGGCGCAGGGCTGATGATCTACCTCTCTGTCGCCACCGCCACGCTCGTCCACGGTTCGTGAGCTCGTTCACGCTTGCCGCAGACCGCTGCGCCAGGGCAACTTGTTGTCATCCGCATGCTCTCCCGTACGTCGTACTGATCACGCGCCTCGTTGTGTCGCATCTCCCATCGCATGTGAATCGCGCTCATCGGAGGTAGGGGGGATGCGTGGCACACGGCGCGATCCGCGCGCGCACGCGATCCTAGAGTATGTATCGCGCGAAAGCGTCGAGCATCCGCGCCAAGTTCCGCCCGCTCCGGCCAGCTTGATGGCTTGTGCGACACTTTTATTTTTTACAATCAATGAATGGTGTATTAAGTATTTTATCCCTTTGGGCTAGTTCCATTTCACTGTGGCACAGCTCGCGTTACAAAACCTTGATTTTGACCATTGCGCGAAAAAGGTACATCTCGGTGCCTTCCAGAGGCAGCTGCAACCCCGCCGAGTAGACGGTAACGCACAGCAGGTGGCGCGGTGCGTTACCGTCCACTCCGCTGGGTCGCAGCTGCCTCTGCGCGTCCTGGGGATGTACCTTTGTCGCGCGCCGAAGGCGACTCGACGCCGCTGAGATCGGAGATCAAGCTCTGACAGGTCGCACGTCGCTCCTTTGACGCCGACGTGACTCACCCGTGCAGATCACATCAGGACACGGTCTCGACGCGCTCGGTACGACGCCTGCGACCCGTCTCGGGTCAGGTGGCACGACGCTCATCGCGCCTACCAGCGCTGCCGTGCAGGTTGCCACGACGAGGTCGAGCACGCTTCTATACGCTCGCCGAGCCTTCCTTTCCATCCCATTTGGCAGCCTGGGAACGGTGGCGGTCAGAGGCAAAGCATACGAGGGGTGGTGGAACCACATGTCACGGCTACTGCCGGCTCGACCCCACGATAGCCTCCGGAGGCTGACTTTGAGGCACAATCATCGGACGACGTCGGCGAGTTGAGTCGCGCTCGCGGTAGCCAGATGACCTCTCATACTAGTATCATCGGCCATGGCCGCAGGAAGCGCGGGGGAGGGCGCTGGGAGCAACACGGAGCTCCGTTGGACGTTTTCAAGATTAGCGTGTCAGAGTGAAATGGAACTAGCCTTCCAGCACGCGCCATTGATCCACTCGCCAGCGCAGGTCTCATAGGATGCGGAGCGTGCGTCCGAGTGGCGGATGAGGATCGCGAGACTCACATTTGTAGAGGCGACCGCTGGCAGTAGCAGCGAGAGCATGGCAGCTGGCCGCGCCGAAAGGTGTCCAAATGGAGATGGTCTATTTGGAGCCGCCAACGTCGGCGATGATCTCGGCGATTGACGTTATAAGCGAGCGGAGTTTTTAAAGTTTAACATGAAAACTTCGTGCTCACCCACCATCACCTACCTCGCCCTGCCACCCCCCGCCCCCGCTGCACTCTTCCTCCTGTTGCCACCTACCCACCTTCCGCTTCCACCGACCACCGTTCGTTTGACCCGCCTTCCGATGCCCCGCCGTTCGCAGCCGCCGTGCCGCCGCCGCTCTCTCTTTCCCTCCCTCTCTCCCTCCCTCCCTCCCTCCTCCTTCCGCCTGCCGCACCTTGGCCTGTATATACTTTTCCGGCAAACAAAAAGGAAAACAGAGGGCCCCCAGCACTTTGCGTTTCCGGAAATTTCCAGGGAAAACAGAGGGTGTTTGGTGCTCCATTCTGGAACTCGCGAGTTTCCCTGAGTCTGAGAGCTGGTCTGGGGCAAAATCTGAGGCAAAATCGAGGAAACCGGCAGCATCCCGGGCTTTTTCCAGGTATACCCGGGGTTTTCCAGGTATACCCGCAAAATACCCGGTATTTCGCCGATTTGGCTGATTTTGGGCCGGGCGGCCCCAAACCAGCCTCAGGCTCTCAGAGCCCGGAAAATTTGATGGTTTTCCCGGGAAAATAGAGAGGAAAAGAGAGGGTGCTGTAGAGAAAAAAGGAAAGGAAAATAGACGCAAGACGGGGTGCGAGAGGAAAAGTATATACAGCCTAAGCCGCACCGCCCGTTAGCCCGCCGTCCGATGTCCGCCGTCCGATGCCCTGCCGCCCGATGCCTGATGCACCGCCGCTCGACGGTGCCGCACCGCCTTCCACATGGCAGACCTCATCTCTTTCTTGTCGGTCAATCTTGGCACGCCATCGCCGAAAGCGGGCGCTCCCACCGGACCGACACCTTGAGACCCTTGAGAGCTCTTTCCTTTTTTGTGCATGCACGATGGCTGGGCCCCACCAGACGGCACCACCTACTCGAACACCTTCAAGAGCACGGCGATACATAAGGCCTTGTCGCGCCGCTGTTTGTTCACCCGCATCAATCGCACCGCAAAAGAGCATGGCGTTCGCGCTGTCGAGCTCCGAGAGTGGATCAGAGACAAGGAGACCATCTTGTCGCTCGCCTTGCTCGAAGCGTGGGCTGACGACGTGCAACAGAAGGACCCGAACGGGGGCAGGAACAAGTCGCCCTTCCCACTGAAGCCGACAGCGTGGCCCGAGAAATCCAAATCGCTTTCGCGGAGCGGAAGAAGTTCCTGTTCCTGTCTCGACCCTATAGCAGAGTGACCTGCACCATGTTTCACCGCTCGTCACGGTGATGTATTCATATTCTCATAGTGTCTAGTGCCCAAACTCCTCGTGTCTTGCGTGCGTGAGCGCGTCTGGTCTATCGCGAGTCGTGGAGAGTGTGCACGTGTGGGGAATATTCAATATATTAGGATGAGAGCTACGCGCAGCCGCATTGCCGTGTCTCTCCCCACTGCCACGTATTTATTTCCGTCCTTCTGCTACCGCTCACGCTTCGCTATAACCTCTTCTTTCCCTCCGCCGCCGCCTCCTCCTCCTCGCACGGCGCGCACTCCCCCGCGTCCGTCAGCGCCGCCTGCGACTCGCCATCGGAAGCGCACGCAGCAAACGACTCGTCCAACCGCAGCCCCTCGAGGCGGTGCCCGATGACGACCAGGCTCGAGGCGCGCGGCTCGCCGTCGCGCCACTCGGAGCCGGCAAAGCCGTGGATCTGCGCGTGCACGCCGTGCACGATGAAGCGGCGCGGCTCGCCGCGCAGCGCGAGCACGCCCTTGATGCGGTACACGTCGTCGGACCGATCCTCGGCGAGTGCGCGGAGCCAGCTCTGCAGTGCGTCGAGGCGGAGGGGCGCGCGCGACTCGAGGCTGACGCACGAGACGTACGGGCTGTGCGAGGCGGCGCCGCCCGCCGCCGCTCGCCGCAGCTCCAGCGCCGAGTCGGACGCATACGCGCGGAGGTGCAGCAGCGTGGCGGCGCCGACGAGGGCGTGCGAGGTGCGCAGCTGCGGCGCGGTGGCGTTGAGGGCCTCGACCGCGCGCGAGACGTCCTCCAAGGCGCCCGGGCTGTCGGAGAGGTCGACCTCGCGGGGGCAGGGCGGCGGCGAGTGGAGGGCGGGGCGGCGCGACGGGAGGGCGCGCGCTGCGAGGTGGGCTGGCGAGAGAGGAGAGGCCAGGGGAGGGAGGCGAGAGGCGAGAGGCGAGGCGAGGCGGAGAGAGGCGGGGCGGGGCGAGGCGGGCCGGGGAGAGGCGGGGCGGGGAGAGGGTCCGGGGAGAGTGCGGGAGAGGAGTGCGCCTTGTTGAGGATCACAAGGTCAGAGACTGCGACCTGCTTCTCCGCCTCGGCCCTCCGCCGCATCAGGCCGAGCGGCCCAGACGGCCGCAGGTGGCGCATCGCGTGCGCGGCGTCGACGATGCTGACCACGCCGTCGAGGTAGAAGCCCGACGTCGCCATCTCGCGCCGCCACAGCACCTGCATGAGCGGACCCGGGTCGGCAAGCCCGCTCGTCTCGATCAGCACGTAGTCAAACGGCAGGATCGCACCGGCGGCCATTCCGCTCACCGCGTCAGCGCCCGCCGCGTCGCCGTCAGCGGCAAGCGCGACGCTTCCCTCGGCGCTGCCCTCAGCGCTGCCCTCAGCGGCGGCGGTGTCGGCGGCCGTGTCGGCGCTGCCCTCGCCGAGCCTCGACATCTCGAGGAGCTTGTCGAGCACGCGCTCGAGCTCGGAGCCGGGCGTCTCGCCGCTGCAGCACATGCACCCGTTCTTGAGCACCACGACGCCCGCGCTGCTCGCCGAGGCGGCGGCCGAGCGCTCCTCGTCGATGAGATGGTGGTCGATCGAGATGGCGCCGATCTCGTTCTCGATGACGAGGACGCGGTGGCCATGGTCGCCCGTCAGGATGCGGTTGACCAGTGTCGTCTTGCCGCTGCCGAGGAAGCCGGTGATGATTGTGATCGGAATCCGTGCCGGGGACGGCTGCTGCGCGCCGCCGCCGCCGCAGAGCTCAAGGGATTTCTCCTCAATGCGCCGGATCCGCAGCCGCTGCATAAAGTAGAGGAGGAGCTGAGTGGCAAGGAACGAGCCGGCGATGGCTACCACGTACCACCACATTAGATTGGAGGGAGGCACAGTTCGGGCGTCGGCGTGGCTGGACAGGGTTCAGCGTTGTGCAGTTGCGGTGAACCATAGCGAGAGCAGCCTCGCTCTCAATCCTAGAAGTCGAAAGATTGTGAGCAGCACTCCTCGCAATCGTAGCATCTCTGTGCGATTGTGAGCACCCACGCTCGCAATCCTACGTCTTCTAGGTTTGCGATGAGGAGCGAGCCGACGGGTTTCTTTCTCGGTCGGAGGTTAGTAGGTTAGTGCACCACTAACCGCCGAAGCGCAAGCGCTTGTTTTTTGACCCCCCCAAGTGAACACACACCAATGTGACACAAAACAACTTGTCAAGCGCAACAACTTCAACCTGCTGCTCCACTTGGGCTGAACACAGTTTGCCTCTCGCACCCTACCTGGAAAATACCCTGCGACCGCCTGGGTATCGTGCCGATTTCCTCAATTTTGCGTCAGTCAGATTTTGCCCCAGACCAGCTCTCAGACTCAGGGAAACTCGCGAGTTTCCAGAATGGAGCACCAAACACCCTCTGTTTCCCCTGGAAATTTCCGGAAACGCAAAGTGCTGGGGACCCGCTGTTTTCCTTTTTGTTTGCCGGAAAAGCTTGTGCAGGCCAACTAAAAGCACATCTACACTGAAAAACACAAATTCATCGAGACACCGGAAAATTTATTTTTCTGGTATAAAATTTCGTAAAAAGGGAAACCCCACCGGAGGGCCAGACCTACCCTCCACTCATGAGTTAGTGAGGTGTGCCACGCAAAAATAAACGCAAGCACGTTGGCACCGAGCTTGCCCCCGTCGCATGCCGGAGAGCACGCACCGCTGTGAGCCCTGTGGCCGCTCGCTGCCAGCCTCGGCCTTCTCCAAGCGCCAGCTCTCTCGACGCCCAAAGGCGTGCAAGGCGTGCGTGCAGGCCGTCGAGACTGCCGAGCAGCACGTCGCCGCCTCGCGAGAGGTCCGGGCCACGGCCGACGGCACAGCGGCCACCGCTGCGTGCAGCACCTGCGGCCAGACCCTGCCACGGACCGCCTTCTCGCGGACGCAAGTTCAGAAGACCGACGCCACGCGACGCTGCCTCGCCTGCGTCGCCAGCTCCTCGGCCGACACATCCGCGACGGCTGAGGGCGGCGAATTCTGCAGCAGCAGCAGCAGCGGCCGCCTGTGTGTACTTCCCTCCGATCTTCCGGCTGCGCTAATCCCCTGCGCACCCTCCAGCGAGCCTCGGCCGGAGGTGGAGATTGCCCGGCTGCAAGCCACGCGCCGGCTGCGCCGGCATCTCTCGTCGCTGTGCGCCGAGGCTGGCATCGAGCCTCCGCTCATGGCGTTTGACCGGTGGATGGCTCGGAGCAAGCTGTCCGAGCCGAGCCCGCTCGACCCGCTCCTGCCCGCTGCGGTGGGCGCGGACGAGGGCCTCGTCAAGGACCTCTGCCGGACGGGCGGGGCGGGGCGCACGGAGGCTGCTGCCGCGGTCGCGCTGCAGCTTGCAGAGGCGGCGGGGCGTGCAATCGAGCGGCTGAAGGGAGGCGGCGGAGGCGGGGAGGGCGGCCTAGTAGAAGTCCACGTTCACGGCCCGCTCCTCCGCCTCTCGCTGTCGAGTGCTCCGGGAGGGACGCACGTAGACGTGTCGCACGAGCACTATGCCAAGCTCGCGGCGCTGCACGCCAAGCACGCGCCGTCGGTGGCGGGCAACCTGCGCACGCGCGTGCTGTGCATGATGCTGCGCTACCAGAGCCTCGGCGCGCACGGTAATCAGTGCGCGCTTCCGCCCGCCGGATTCGAGGTGCTGAGGCAGCGGCTCGGCATCCGATTCGAGTGCTTTGCGTCGCCGCTCAACGCGCGGTACGACCGCTACTGCTCCGCCTTTGCCGACACGGACGCGGCATTCGGCTCGATCGGCTCCTTCTTCGGCTTCCGGCCCACCCACGGCTCGTTCGAGTGCAACCCTCCCTTTGTGCCCGAGGCGCCGCTTGCGGCAGTGCGGCCGCCGGTGCGTGTGCGTGTGGGCGGCGTCTCTTCACACCTCGAGCTGTGGACAGGTGCTGCTCGCGGCGGTCAAGCACGCCGAGGCGCTCCTCTCCGCCGCCGAGGCGAGCGGCGGCGCGCTCTCGTTCGCCTTCGTCGTCCCGAGCTGGGAGCGAGTCCCCTTCCACCACCAGCTCTGCAGGTCCGCCTTCCTGCGTGGCGGCGCGCCTCTCCGCCTCGCCGCAGAGGCACACGGCTTCGTCGACGGCGCGCAGCACCTCAAGGCGGCCGCGGGGGACCGGCTCCGCGTCTCGTCCTTCGCCTCGACGGTCGGAGTCCTGCAGACCGCCGCCGCAGCCGAGAGGTGGCCGGTCGACGCCGCGCTCTACTCGCGGCTCTCCGCGGCGTTTGCGGGCGCGCTGCCCAGTGCGGAAGCCGCGCAGGACCGCGTGCGGCGTGGCGGAGGCGACGCGGTCGCGCTGCTGTTGCAGCGACGCGCGCAGGCCGATGCCGCGGCGGAGGGCGGGGGGGAGGGTGGGCGGAGCGAGGGAGGGGGCGAGGAGGAGAGGCCGCCCTCTTCGGCCGGGAAGCGGAAGGGGAAGAAGCGGGCCCGCGGCGAGAGGACGGAGAGGACGGTCTGACATCGCCGCCGAAGCAGCTGTTGAGCGCTGTCAACTAAACAGACAACCCAAGAGGGATGGGAGGACGGCAAAGTCCGGCTCACGCGCCCCGAGCTGACCATCTACCGCACTGCACACTTCCGCCCCCTCGCTCCCAGCCCATCCACCTCGCCTCGCCTCGGCCCCCGCCGCGCAATTGTTTTTGGAGCATTTGCGCCTTGGAGCACTTGGAGTGCAGTTGGCAGCCTCACATCCAGGGCCGGGGAGCTAAGAAGCGCACCCAGCGGGCCGGATGATCGGGATCGGGTTACGGGCAAGAGGGACGCCCGGGGTTTTTTTTGCCGCCGATGAGTGGCAATTTGTGTGGCCATGCTCGCGATTGTCCAGCTCTGCGCACTCACGCCGCTCGAAAAGGCCCCGGCACCTTCGTGGAACGCGCTCCGCCTCCAGGACCGCATCGCAAACGGCGGGCGAGGCAGAGGCTCATCACCCGGAGTGGCGGCACAGGAGGCGCTGCGCCGCCAGGCACTCCTCGCCCGCCTCAGAGGACTGGCGTCGCCCTCCGAGGCCCCAGGCGAGGCGACACAAGGCGAAGCCGTCTTTCCGCAGCCCACGAGCCCCGTCTCGGAGCCGCAGCCACCAATCGTCGCTCCGCCGCGAGACGTCGCATCGCCGCGAGAGGCTGCGGCGGAGGCACCCTCAGCTCCCACAGCAGTCGGGCCGCGCTTCGCCTCCCTCCTCGGACTGCTCCCGCCCATCTCGCTCCTCGTCGCGTGGCGGCGCAACGTGCGGCAGGCTGAGTCGGAAGCGGCCGTGGCGGAGGCGCAGGCGACCGAGCTGGAGGTTGCGGCGAACAAGCTGGCAGAGGCGGCGGTGCTGGCCAAGGCGCAGGCGGCGACGGCGGCGGAGCGCGCGGAGGAGCTGCAGGGCAAGGCGAAGCGGGCTGCGGCCCTCTGGCCGTTGGCAGAGGGCGGGGGCGCGCTGAGGGAGGCGGAGGCGGAGGCGGCGGAGGCGGCGGCAGAGGCAGAGGGCTCTCTGCTGGTGGGCCGCCTCCTGTCGCAGGCGGCGGAGGCGGCCGCTGCGGAGGCGGGTGCCGCCGCGGAGTCCGCGGTGGCCGAGGTTGCGGTGCTGCCGCCGGCGGCGGCAGTCGCGGCTGCGGAGACAACCAGGGCGGAGCGGACCATCCCGGCAGGGACACCGGCGTCCGAACTGGCGGCGTCGGCGGCAGAGGCGACGCAGCTGGGGGCTGCGGAGGAGCTGGAGGCAGCGCTGCCTGTCACTGTGGGCCGAGGGTCGGCGCGGAGCGAGAGCAAGTGGCTCTGGAAAGGGGCGACGGCGGCTCTGTCGACGGGGGCTGCGGGGGCCACGCTTCAAGAGGGATACGCGGCGGCCACGACGTCGGCGGCAGCGACGACAGCGACGACAGCGGCGGCGGCGCCAGCGGCTGCGGCGACATCCCTGGCAGGCCCCGAGCAGGGTCGCCCCGTTCTCCCTCCCGAGTCGGACGAGTCGGCCGGCGGGCAGGCTCCGTCAGGGGTGAGACGGTTCGCCCTCCGGAGGGCGGCCCTCGCGGCGGAGGCCGTGGTGCGGACCAACCAGCTGCTCGACCCGAAGCGAGTCGAGTGCTCCGCCTGCCCGAACCTGCCCGAGGGCGGGGGCGGCAGGCTGCCTCCGCGCCTGGCGGCCCTGCTCGCACAGGCCTCCCTCCGCTCCTCCCTCGCGCTGCTCTGGCTCACCCGCCTCTGGGAGACGCCGCCGCGCGGAGCCGGCCTGCTGCCCGCCCTCCGCCTCCTCCGCCTCTCCGCCGCCACCGCTCTCGCCGCGGGCCTCACACTCGGCCTCGCGGCCGCCGTCGGGGCGTTGGCCCGGCCTCTCCCGCCCGCGCTCTCGCCGCTCCTCCCGCAGCTTCTGCTCCCGCGCGGTGTGCCGCTGGCGCCGTCGGCGCTGCCCCCGCGCCTGGCACGCTAGGAGATAAGAGCCGGTCAGCCCACAGCCACAATGGCGGTCTCTGGGGCGTTGGTCATCCGTACAGGCCACGCTGCGGTGCCGGTGGTGTCTATTCCGAAGTGGTTCGGGGAAACCGCGCGCCGCGGACCGCGACCGGCGCGGGGCCGCCCCACGCTCGCGCGAGAGAACGAGAGATTTTTTGCAGGCACGAGGCACACAAATCACAATAAAAAGAGGTGGTCGGAAGACGGAACGGAACGTAGTCCGTCCAGAGGCGGGGGCACATCTCGTCTAAGAGTTTGACCGTTTTACGTTTGTTAAATCATAAATGCCCTTGCCGCCACAGTCAGGAGACTTATAAGGGTTCAGACGTCCCTTTAAATAATTCACACGTAGCGCACATGCGTGCGCGCGCACTCGCGCGCGGAGACCAGAGCGGCTCGGTGAGCGCGGGGCCAGGGAGAAATCCGATCTCTCCCCGTTGTGCGGTCCACGGCAGACAGTGCGGCCCGCCGTGGCCCGCCGAGAGAGCATTCTCACATGCGGAGCCAGATCGCACGACGCTCGCGGGTCTGTGCGACAGGGCTTAGAGACTAGGGCTTGAGAGGCGCGCGCTCACGTGTGGACGGCAGGAGCGCGCGGCGCCGGGGTACGCGGGGCTCTCAAAAGAGGCCTTCGACCAGCTCCCTGAAGCTCACGCCGCCCCCCGCCACCACCCCCTCCTGGCTGGCGACGAGGCCGACGAGGCTGGCGACGAGCGCGGCGCCCCAGGCGGCCTTGCCCGGCCCCTCCGCCTCCAGCGTCGGCTGCAGCGCGCTCCGCGTCTTGCTCGGCCGCGAGGCGCGGCCGCGCTCCTCCAGCCAGGCCAGGATAGACTCTGCGGAAGTTGCGTCCAGGTCCGTCTCGCCCTCGTCCACGGCGACGTGCGCGACTCGCCCCTCCTCGACGACGAGCGCGAAGCGCTTGGAGCGGATCCCCGCGTTGAGTTGGAAGAACTTGTTCGCCTTGGTGTCCAGCTTGCTGTTGTATGCCACGCCGAGCGCCTTAATCAGGTCCGCGTCCTTGTCCGCCAGCATCGAGACCATGCCGTCCAGGGACGCCTTGCCCTCTGCACGGAGGCACGCGCTCATCGCACGCTTCCACGCCGTCAGCAGGAAGCGGTCGTTGGTCGTCACGACCGCCACGGTCGAGACGCCGAGAGAGCGGAACTTGCCGGCGCCGCGGATGTAGCCGGGAAGGTGCTCGTCGGTACAGGTCGGAGTGAAGGCGCCGGGCATGCCGACCAGCACGTTGCGCCCGCTGCTGAAGAGGTCGGTGGACGAGTCGAGGAGTGGGCAATTGTCCTCGGCAGCGCAGCCGTCCGTCACAAGCGTGATCGGCACGTTTGGAAAATCGTCGCCAACCGCAACCTGCTCCGCCTGCATCGTAGCCATTACGATCGGCGAGCCTCGTGAGCTCGAGGGCTTCGAGCCGCAAGCTGGCAAGCGGACGGCTGCGGCGGATAGGGCGCCGATTGTCCACATTCGCTTCGGCAGGAAGTACTCACTGTGCTGATGACGTTAGATCTACCGATGAAAAGCAGTCACGCGAATAAAGAATTTTTACACGTTAAGAATTCTTAACACAAGCCTCTCTCACAGCACGCTGGCACGACAAGGGCGCGGACTGGCGCGGACTGGCACACACACCGGAACGGGACTGGCGCCCCTGAGAATCGCAATCCCAATCGGCGAGAGACTGCGAACGAAGAGAGAAGGAAGAGGCGGACGCCCAAGGGTGGGCGACGGCTAGCGCATCACACACCCCTCTGAGCACTTGAGCACTGGATAGGGTCGATTCCGCATGGTACGGGACCCCATGAACACCCCTGTGCATGCCATCCGGGGCTGCCATCGGCATACACAAGGCGCAAGCTCACCGAACGGCGGGAGGTGTACGCGACCCAGAAGAAATCGGGCCGTGTCGTTCCCTCCGCTGGAGAGAGGTCCATCAGTTCCCGTTCCCCAGGACCTCCTCTCCAGCTGCGACCGTGGATCATAGCAAGACCATGACGCATGAGAGTGCTCATGCTACAAGAGGAGCTTGTTCACAGTACCCTCCAACTGGGCCTCAGACCATCCACGACGCACCCGTCACCTCCCCTTCACCCGGCTCCAGGATCGAGGTGCACGCCGCCGAGGGACCCCGGAGGGTAGATCGGGCGGTGTCGTCCCCCCTCTCCCATCAAGCATCATCACCTGATTTGTTTGTTGAAGCCACGTGTTCCATTAATTGAGTCACCATCTGATTAGTTGTCCATTGGTTAATTGTCAAAATTCCTGTTGTGCAAGGGGGGGGAGGGCTCTGACGGAGTGTGTGGGGGGAGGGGGCAGGGAATGGGCGCGGGGGAGGGAGGGGGGGCTCAGCCGTGCAAAAAGCATCAAGTAATAATAGTAATGAAGAAATATTGCTCGGCCGTTCATTCATGGAGTCCGTCTCGATCTGGAGGAGACGGGTCAACCCCGTGAGGACCAGATCACGTTCACATTGTCGTAGCCGGAGGGGATGTTGACATTTAGCTCTTGGAGCCAACCTTCCGCTTTGGTTTTTTCCCCCCAAACCATTCGGCCAACTTTCACCAGATGCCAAAGTTGCACTTTACCACTCGGGCAGATTCGATTGGATTTTACCACTCGGGCAAACTCGATGAAACGGCGGACGGAAAACGCGTTGGCGGCCGCTCGCCGGAGAGCTATGCATGAAGCGGCCGGCGCGCCACCGCAGCTCACCGATGGAGCTTGCGCCGCGGCTCAATCCACAGGCGCAGCAGCATTGCGACGCATTCTCCAAGCACGGCCTCTGGCGTTGCGAGTGCACAGAGAGCGAGCAATAGTCGACAAAAGCACTGATCTGTGGGCAGCAGATCTCCATATCCGGGTCGCGCCCTGCGAAAGGACAACCGCGGGCCGCGGATGCTTGCCCGGACGCGGGCCCGCCGTGCGAGTTGCAGACCCGGAGGAGGCCGACCCAGCTCACCCCCAGAGAGGCCATGCCCAGGGTCAGCCATGAGAGGGGGGCCGTTTCCGTCCGTCCGTTCTCCTCAGACACCTCTCCTTAAAATCCCTGTGTGGTGGCAGCGTGCCGTCCTCCCATCCCTCCCTTGGCCTGTCCGTTTTCTTTCATTCTTTGCCCCTGAACGTCCTTCCAAAATCCTGCTTGTGCAGGTGGGGACCCTGTGGGCTGTGGTCCTCCTCCCCCATCCCTCGTTTGGGTTGTCTGTTTTCCTTCTTTCTTTTGCGCACTGGCACTAACACAGGGGAAATAATTTTCCACCCCTCGCACTCTCGCCGTCCTAAAAGAAAGAAAGAAAACAGGCAACCCAAGGGAGGGATGGGAGGACGGTACGCCGCCACCACACAGGGATTTTAGGGGAGAAGTGTGGTGTTAGCCGTCGCCCACCCTCGGGCGTCTACCACTTCCTATCTCTCTCCGCAGTTTATCACCAATTCTCGCCGTCCTCCCATCCCTCCCCTCGCGTCTGTTTTCTTTATTTCTACCAAGCACAGACCACAGTGCCGCCCAGTGTTGTGCAAAAAAAGAATACATCGTGCGGATGGACGCGCCCGGTGCAAAAAAAGAATACACCGGGCGCCGGACCTGCCTGTCGGGAGAAAGTTTGTTTTTTTTGCGGAAGGAAAAGAAATTACGCTCCCTCGTCGTTACGCCCCCCGATAATACGAGCACACATGAGCGAAGAAGCAAGCGCGGAGGCTGCAGTGCCCGCGGCCCTCGAAGCGGCGGACGGCTCGCTACCCAGCGGCTCCGCCGGCGAGGTCCCGCCCGCCGGCGGCTCAGTCGAGGCGTCACCGCCTCCTGATGGAGGAAGAGGTTTGGGCGGCAGGCCGTGGCAACGCGACGGCGAGGGCAGCTATTCCTTTCCAAACGGCGTGGCTCCCACCTGTCGGTTATGCGCTTCCAACGCTGCCTCGCGCTCGTGATGGCTCGGATGGGAGGTGTGACGCCTCGCCGGCCGCATGCGCGCCATACATGGAGCCGGCAGCCGCGCAGACGACTCGGCAGCAGCTTCCCCTTTGTCAGATGGACGGTGATCACCTGCGTGGCCGCTGGGAGCAGAGCTGCGACCCACAGCGCATCGGTCGGCCCGACCACTTTGCGTACGGGCGCAGCCTTCCCGTCCTGCAGGGCGGCTTCGACTACCGCTTCTGCTTTCAGCAGTCCGCCAACGAGCGCCTGCGGAGCGCCGAGGCGCTCTCGTGGTCGTGGCGGCCGGACGGCTGCCGGCTCGAGCCCGTGCGCGGGTTTTCAGAGTGGCTCGGCGAGCGCACTCTCCTCTTCGTGGGCGACTCGCTCACCGCGCAGCATTTCTACAGCCTGGTGTGGCTGCTCGGCGGAGATGCGGGTACGGAGGAGCTGCTCGACTTGGAGAGTCTCCTCCGCGTGGAGCAAGGCGCGCGTGTGGACCGCTGCACCACGAGCATGAACAGCGAGGGCGGTGGCGCGAGCCGCGTGAGCCGCGTCCGTCTGAGGCATGGCGGAGTCGTGTACAAGGTGATGCGACACGGCGAGCTGGAGGACGAGCTGCGGAACCTCAACCGCGTGAGCTGGCTGCAGCTCGTGCGCTCGGTGGATATTCTCCTCCTGAATGTCGGCCATTGGCACCATCGAAGAGACCCGGGGTTCGCGCGCTACGAGGAGGACGCAGAGGCCGTCACGCGACAGCTCGAGCTGCAGCTCAAGCCGAGCGCCCACGTCGTCTACCGAACAACCAACGTCGGCCACCCAGGGTGCGAGAGCGCGGCTCGGCCACTGCGCAGCCGGCTTGAGGCGTGGAGCGCTCTCGCCCCGGAGGGAGGCGACGCCGACCTGTTTACGTGGAACTCGACTGCGCAGCTCGCGCGGCAGACAAAGAGCCTCAAGGACTCCTTGTTCAGGGATCCCCACAGTTGGAGGGGTCCGCCGCTGTTCGAGGCGGCGTGGGCCGCGTCGGCGGCGCGGAGGAGGCCCGACTTTGCTCGCCGCTTTTGGCTGCTGAACGTCTCGTTTGTCGACCAGCGAGCCGACGGGCATGTGGCGGGGGCGATGCGAGCTGGCGTGCTCGGCTCGCGCCAGAGGTTTCCGCTCGACTGCCTGCACTACTGCTTCCCGGGCCCGGCTGACTATTGGGCGCTGGCGCTCGTCAACCTGCTGCGGCGGCAAGTGCCAGCGGCTAGACAACGTGGCGCAGCAGCGTGAGCTTTGTGTGTTTTTTAAGTGACGCCTGACGCGGCGTGATTTGTAGAGTGGGGAGAGGGACACTGTCTGCTATTTCGCGTCTTTCACTTTTTGTACTCTGGGACGTCTGAGCGGTCGTCAATATACGCGTTTGTGTGTCGATGGTGAGGCGTCTCGGTTGGTCTCTGACCGGCATGTGTCCACATGTGTGCGATGTGGTGCTGGTGGTGTGTATTCTGTTATTTGTTCATTGTTGATTCAGCCCCTCTTTAAGTCACGTGCCACCGCGCCCACGCCAGGAAGAGGAATTGTATGGGCAGCCGCCAGTATACGGCCGGCGGCCCTATTCCAGTGGCGGCGTGTGCCTTCCTAGAGAAGGCGTGGTAGAGATTGGCCGGGAAGACGCACACTAGCATAGTCAGCACGAGTGCGCCGCCGTACCGCTCACCACCGGGCAGTGCAAGGAGCATGGCAGAGGTAACGTCCATTGTCCCGGACGCGTAGACGCAGAGCCGCGGCGGTAGTGGAGGAGGCACGATCGGCACGAGCAGCTTCTCTACCAGCTTCCGATTCATCCTCAGGGAGGCTGCGCCCAGCATGAACCCGACGAGGCACACACGCGAGAAGAGCCGCCACGCATCACACAGCCGGTGAGAGCACAGCTCGTTCGCACACAGAGCGCCTCCGAGAGCGTGCAGCGCGCTGACTGCGACGACGAGGGCAAAGTTGGGCGGCGCGTTTGTCATCAGATCACCTTCTGGCGAGGTACTCCCACGCCTCTCGGGGGTTTGTCTGGCCGAGTCAACCCGAGACTGCTGGGGCGAGCCTCGGCGAGACTGCGTCAGCTGTTCCCACAGCAGGCTGGAAGTACCTCGCCAGTCGGGGATCTGTTTTCTTTAGTTTTCGGTTTAGGTATGACTTTGGTTTGTTTTCAAAAAAAGAAAAAGATGGAGCCCGACCAGCTGCTGCTAGACCGACCTGGTGCGCGGCGACGCACGCGACGCGCGACAGACATGGCGACCAGCCTCGCCGACGGCCTCCTCCTCGGCGATGACTCCGACGACGTCGAGTGCGCCGACGCTGCCACGCGCGAGTCGCTCTGGCGTCCACCCACACAGCCGCCTCTCCGGCTCGGCTTCCCAGACGGCTGGCCCGACTCGTTCCGCTCATGCCCGCCACTCAAGCGCCTGCTGGGTGGCTCCCACCTGCGCGGCTCCCGCTGCCGGGCGGTGGAGCCGCCGTCCGCCGCCGAGCTGACTGCGGCTGCCGCCGCGGGAGTCGTGCCGCTTCCGCTGAGATCGTTTGCGAACGCGACTCGTCTCGCCGAGGCGTCCGTCGGGACCAGCGTCGTGCGGGGCTTTTGCGTCTTCGAGCGGCTGCGGGACGAGCCGTCGGGCGCGGAGCGCATCTTCGTCGGCGTCCGCCACTGGTGGAATGCCGATGCGACTGGTCGTTGGGTCGACATCACGCCTCCGCTCGTGGCGTCCGCCCGCCGCTCACTCCTCGTCGAGTCGCCGCTCGGCGTCAAGAGCGGCTCGCCTCCGACTCCCGCCACCCGCGCCGCCTCCGCGGCGCTCGCGCGCGTGCTCGCGGCAGCGGCGGGCGGGGAGGCCGCGGCTCACGACACCGGCGCGGCCTCTCCCTCGTCGCCCTCCGCTGCAGCATCGCTTGGCCCTGCCGCCGCCGGCGGCGGCGGCGGCGATGGCGGCGCTTTGGCCGCTCAAGGCCTGCCCGACGCTGCCGGCGAGGAGCACGGCGTCAGTGCGGGCGGTGGGCCGGGTGCCGCTCCAGCCGACGCTGCGCATACTGCGCAGGCTGTGCAGGCGCGCGCTCTCTGCCGTGGCGGGCGGCGCGGCTCCCGCACCGCGACACGTTCCCATCACGCGTCCGCGTCGCATACCATAGGCGTCGCTTACTTCGGCCGGCGCGGAGGCCGGCGCGACCGCGCGGCGTCTCGCCGAGGAGAGCGGCGCTCCTCCGGCGGCGGTTGCGGCAGCTGCAGCCGCCGCAGAGGCGGCAGTCTCGCTCGGCGCAAAGATGGACGCAGCCATGGCGGTGGCGTCGGCCGAGGCACTGCGCGCCTCGCAGGGCGCGCCCACCCCGGAAGAGGCGGCCGCGGCGGCGGCGGCGGCAGTGCGCAAGGCCGCGTCGGGGCACGCAGGGCGGATGGCGGCGGGGGCGGCGCGGCGAGCCGGGGCGCCTCAGGCGGCGATTGGGGCGGCCGAGGAGGCGGCTGCCGCCGCGATCTGCTCGGGCAAGACGCACGCGGAGGCGGCGGCGGCGGCGGACGAGGCGGCGCGGCTCGCGGCCGAGGCGGAGGCGGCGGCGGCGGGGCAGGAGACCGCGGCGGCGATCCGAGAGCAGGAGGAGGCAGCGGGGCGGGCTGCGGCGGTGGCGGACGCGGCGGCGCAGGTGCGGCGGCAGGGGATGATGGCGCTGCGCGCTGAGGACCTGTCGGCTCTGGGCGCCAAGGTCGAGAAGGAGGAGGAGGCGGTGCGTGCGCACCAGGACGAGGTGCGGCGCGCCGCGGAGCGTCTCGCCGCTGGCTGCGGCGATGCGCTCGACCAGGCGACAGTCGATGAGCTTCCGCCCGCCGCGCCGACGGCCGACATGATGCGCGAGGCCATGGGCGGGCGGGACGCTACGCGGGCGGAGGCGGGTGTGGCAGAGGAGGCCAGGTGGGCGGAGGCGGGTGTGGCGGAGGAGGCTGCAGCAGAGGCGAAGCGGCGGGTGGCGCGGGCCGAGGTTTGCCGCTCCAGAGGCAACGAGAGCTTCGTCGAGGCTGGCCGCGTTCAAGGCAGCGCCGACGCGCGCGCGATGCTTTGCGAGGCGCTGGAGCAGTATGAGGCTGGGATCGCGGAGCTGCGGCACCCGCCCGCCGCCCGCTGCTCGCCCTCCCTGCTGGCCACTCTCCACGCCAACGCCGCCGCAGTCCACTTGCGGCTAGGGGCGTGGGAGGCTGCGCGCGCGAGCGCGTCCGCGGGCCTGCGGTTCGCCCCGTCGCACGTCAAGCTGCGTGTGCGCCGCGCCGAAGCCTCCGGCCGGTTGGGCTGCCACCGCAGCGCGTGCGACGACCTCTGGGCAGCGGTGCGCAGCGCAGGCAGCGCGGCGGCGAAGAGCACCGCCGTCGCCTCCCTCGTGCGTGCGTGGGCGGGCCGTGCGCCGCGCGCCGCCGCGTTTGTCCACGGGGCACTCGCCGTGGACGGGAGCCGCGGCCGCGGCGAGGGTGGCGGCGAGGGAGGGGTTGGCTGTGATGGCGACGTCGGAGAGGGCGACAACGGCGATGGCGGCGCAAAGGCGGGCCGCAGTGCGTCGGCGAGTGCGGAGGCGGCGGGCGTGGTGTCGCTCGCTCTCTGTCGCGCCCTGCACGCGGACGGCCGCAGTCGCGAGTGGGCGCACGGCGGAGAGTCAGCGGAGTCGGAGGCGAGAGCTGCCGTCAGCACGCGTCCTCTGCTCGTCGCCGGCGCGGGCTCGCTGGCCGCTGCGTCGCTTCCTTTGGCCGACGGCGGCGACGGCGGTGGCGCCGCGGCGTTGCTGCGCCTAGCGGCGTGGCTCTGTGCGTGCCCGGCGGCGGATGCGGCCGAAGCCGCCCTCATCGTCGCGCTCGCCGCGCCCGCAGACGATGGCGGCTGGGCAGGCGAGGGCGGCGATGCGAGCGAGCTCGCCGCGCCGGCGCAGCCGCCCTCGCTGCTCGAGGCGCTGACTCGCGACGGCGGCTGCTCGGAGGCGGCGGTGGCGGCCCTCGCCCTAGTCGAGGCTCTCGCGTGCCGCCGACCAGCCAATTGCGTTTTGCTCCAGCCCAGCGTTGTAGCCGAGCGCTGGAGGTGTGCGCGGTTGCCGGCAGTGCAGCGTGCGGCGGCAGGAGCGCGCCACGCGACTTTTGCAGCCCGCGTCGGTGTCGTCACTCCGCCTTGTCTCGCATCTGTAGGGGCTCTCGTGTGGCTCACGCGCTCGAGAGAGGCGAGGGCCGCATCGCGACCGTGTCTGCGACTAGACCGACACAAAGCGTCGCGCGGTTTGACTCTGCAGGCGAGCGGCTGGATGGTGACCGTGCCACGCGACTCGCTCGGACCGCTCCTCGCCCGTGCCGCCAGCCTTCACAAGGCCACTCGCGTGCTGGGCCCTTGGGCATTGGACGAAGAGGCGGCGGAGGGACGCACCATCGCGGCTCAGGAGACGGGAGTGTGCTTGGGCGACGGCGGGGACTGAGCAAACGACCCGGAATTTCAGACTTTAGACTCACGGCGTCAGTGTGACAGCATGTCAATACAGTACGTGAGTTTGGACTTGGATACCCCAAAGTCGTGTACAGTCAAGCAGTATGGCCCCCCGCCCTCTCTCTCTCTGTGCATGTACATACTCTACAACTGAGTCTGAGAAGAAAAGTCTCTCAGACTCATCTCATATCCTCTGTTCCTCCAAAGACGGTGCACACAAAGAAGAGAGGACGTCATTAGCGTACGAAACCTCGGAAAGCTCTCTGGGTACCCCTAGGCTTAAAAGGGTGGGCCCTGGGGCGCCTGCAGCTTAAACGGCTTAAAACCTGCCTAGGCAGGTTTTAAGAGCTGCTGGGCCGCCGAATCCTTAAACGCGGTCTTAAACGGGCTTAAACGGTGCGGGAGAGAGCTCCCGAGGTCGATGGTCCGGGAGGCTCCCGGTAGACGCCGGAGGCCGGGAAGCTGGCTACACAAACAGTCAGCTAGCACGCGCCCCCTATGCGAGTATGGCTCCTGCCAGTGCACCAGACTTACAGATGTGTCTTCAGAGGCGGTTTTGTGCCTAATAACGGCAGTATTGGAGAAAACGGCGCGGAACCCAGCGACGCATGGCCGGTGAGGCCGATTTTCAAAATTCTTAAACGGTCTTAAAAGAGGGACCCCCCGTGCCTGCAATCTCTTAAATGGCAATTTCAGCCCCCAAATCTCCTCGTTTCTTAAAAGGTCTTAAAAAATCCGGCCCTCAGAACCCTAGGGGTCCCATAAGAGCTAAGTCGGAAAGAAAGGCCATGGGCGCCGAGAGAACATTCCTCCGAGAGGACAAAGAAAGACAAAGGCCAAACCTCCTTCCCTGGTTCCCCCGCCAGATGTCGCCGTTCTCGGGGCATGCTATTCCTTTTTTAAGCAGGGCAGGTGGGGGAGGGGGGCACTCCCACGGACGTATGCGTATCCGTGGTGACTCTGACTGTCCCTCAGGAGCGGCGTGAAGCGTCGGTGGTCGGAGGCAAGGGAGAAGATAAGAATATTTAATTTAGATTTTTTCACATCCTGTTCCTGATCCTCTCACGGTGTGGGCAGGTCCTCTCAGCTCTGCTCCTCTCTCTCTATATTCTGGATCGCCCTAGCCGCCTCTCTCTTCATGCTCTCTGACTCTAGATGCTGGGTCGCCCAACTAAATACCGCGCTGCGCGGTCTCCCCTACCTAACAGATTGGTCACTCCCAAATCATCTAAACAGATGTGTTGAGGGGATCGCGAAGCGAACCCTCGCCGCGCCGGCGCAACGGTGCGCGCGTTGCCGTGGTACGCCGCAACCCTGCGGGAGTCGTGGCGTCTGCGCCGGCCACAGCGGACCCGCCGCCCACGAAGGCTTTCGAAAACTGCCGGCGCCTCCGGTCGAGCTCGAGGAGCGGCGCAAGCTCGCCGAGGTCCTGTGGGAGGAGGGAGGAGAGCGGCACCTGCCACAGCCGCAACACGCGCCGCCGGGTGCCCTCAGTCGCAGCGGCATAGGCAGTGGCAGTGCCGAGGAGAGCACTGAGCGCGGCGGGAAGCGACAAATCTCTTGGAACATACGTTTCAAGTGATCTGCACGCTTCCGGCGCAATAGTCTGCAAGAGGTAGAGGGCGACGGTCCCCCACGCAAAAGCAATGCATCGTGCGAGAATCACCCGTCGCATCACACGCCACAATCGGACGCTATCAACCTCCTTGACGCCCCAGATGCGATTTGTGGCTTGGATGCGGAGCGTTGCAGCACCATACCCGAGGGCGGTCACTAAACGCAAGAGGTCATCGGCACCGCCGTCGGCTCGCCAGCGAACGAAAAAGACGCACCCGCTGCACAGCGGAGGGAAAGCTAGGCTGCCGAAGAGGAGGCGGCGAAGGTGCGTCCGTGATGCACTGGCCGACGCCTGGCTGCCGGCGAACACGCATGCCGTGCTTCCCGAGAAGCTCATGAAGGTCCACACGGGTTCAAAGTGAGCTGAGACCGCAAAGATTCGCTCTGCCACGGCGACGGCGGCTAGCAGGAGACAAATTGCCTGCGCGTGGTGCTGCAAGCGCCGCCTCAAGCGGTGGCAAGCACCAGCCTCGCGCTGGGGCCGAGCGTAGTCGCCTGAATATGAATAGGTTGAAACGTTTGTGTCAGAGCTGCGCCGCCCGAGAGGAGCCGACATGATGTTGCTCCGGAGCTAGGCGGTGACCAATGAACGTGGCTCGAGCCGGCGAGAGCTGCAATCACTTGCCTTCGAATGCAAAATTTTCTCGGTCTTTTCAGAACCGCAGGGGGCGCTCGAAGAGATGCGCTTGAAGATGCCTGCAGAACCGGGACTGTTGACCCGCTTATCAAATTTGTCGCTTTGAGAGAGCAATTACACTAGATTAGTAACACCCGATACGTTACGAACCGCCGATGTGCCTTTTTTCACGGCCCGTGGTGCCGTTCTCCCACATCCCGCTGTCGGGGAAGCGTCACTCTCACGGGGTGGGGTGGGGTGGGGTGGGGGTGGGGACGGGGCGCGCTGCCTTTCTTCTTTCTTTCTTTTAACACGAGAAGTCACAACACTTACACATGTGCATGCAGGATTTCCAAGCACGACCGCGCAGTATCTCGTATCTGTCTGCAAAGATGAAATGAGACTAGTGAACATCCTCCTCTTCCATCGGCTCGCCGTCCCGCGGCGTCTCTGGCGGCGGCGGCTGCGCCGCGAGCAGAGAGAGCAGGACCTCGTCCGTCGAGAGCCGCGAGAGGAAGCCGCTCAGCGAGGTGCCGCCTACCCCCGCGGGGCAGTCGGCCACCAGCACGCACAGCTGCGCCGCCACGCCCCGGATGGCGACGCTCCCCTCCTTCGACCGCCCAGACCCAATCCCCATGGCAGCCAGCACCTCGCCCGGCTTGGCGCACAGCGCCGCGGCGTCGCCAAAGTGCAAGTGCAGCGCGCGGCACGCAGCAGCGAACTGGCGCGACGAGACGGCGCCGCTCCGCTTGGTGTCGAGGTTGGCGAGCATCAGCACGAGGTAGTCGCGATACGGAAGCAGCGGCGCCAGCTGCGGTACCGCCAGGCGGAAGCGGCCGAGGAGGAAAGCCTGGTAGCGAACCGTCGGCGACCCACCCCAATCCCGGCCGAGAAGGAAGCCGCGCATCGGCGGGAGCAGCATCGGCGGCGCGCGCAGCACGCACCGCGTCTCCTCCTCCCACACATCGACGGGCAGCTCGCCCGTCGCCCCCCGGTCGGCCGCCTATTCACGGCAGAGCACGCCGCTCAAGACATCTAGACGCCGTCCCGCCCGCCAACGCACAGAGGCGGTCGCTGGTAAGCGGCTAGCAGCTCGTCGCGCTGCACCAAGATGGTGGAGGCAAGGAGGTATTCTTGCCGCTGCGCCACGCGCAACCGCGGCAGCTCATCCGCGTCGAAGGACACGAACCGCAACCCTCCGAACGGGTGCTCCGCCGTCGCTCCCTCCTCCTCCTCCTCGTCGGCGCTTGGCAGTGCCGCGGCGGCGGGCGTGGCGTCGATCGGCGGGGGGTTCAAGGCCGGGTCGGAGGGGCACGAGCCCGCCGCGCCGAGCAGCGCATACGCGCCTTTATTGAGCGTCTTGCCCGCGTAGTTTGATGCGGAGAAGACAGTCGCGAGGTGCCTCCCCGGCCCGTACGGCCAGTGGAAGCCTTCCGGCACCTGCGGTTGGGGCGGGCGGCGGGTAGGTGGTGTGAGGGTGGCAAGCGGCGGCAAGACTAGAGCTAGCGGCAGGGATTAACTACCTCCTCGTGCGACCGGAGGATGAGCCCGAGCCCGCTCCGCTCGAGGAAGCCGGCGGCCACGTCGGCGCCGAAGAGGCACCCGCCGCCACGGTATGGGTTCGGCTTGACGCCGGGCTCGGTGCCCGGGTCATTCCAGAGGGCCGAGTGGATCGGGCGCAACTCCTTCTCCCGCGCCGCCATCGCGACGAGTTTCGCGCGCATGTGAGGGTGCACTAGGCCGCCCGGACGGCCAAACCCGAGCAGACTGGCCTGCGAGAGGGGAGAGGGGGTTGGGGGGAGTGGCGGGGCACGATCCGAGCGAAGCGTGAGGGGAAAGCGTCGGGCCTGGTTGACGGTGTACTCCTTGCGCGGCAGCCGCTCGAGCTGCTCGAGCGTCATCTCGTCGTCCACGCCGCCGTGCAGGACGAGCACCTGCCAGGGAGGGGAGGGCGGCTGGCCCGGCGTGGCGGTGGGAGGAGAGAGTTGGGAGGAAGTCATTGGGTGACAATGGCGGCGGCCGACGAGCGCGCGCCTTGTCGTTGAGGATCGTGGCGATGGGAAGATGGTCGAAGGCCTCGGAGAAGAGCTCGTAGGCGGTCGCGCCTAGGACCGTTCCAGGCAGCCTCCAAGGAAGACTCCCCGGGGAAGGCGGCTCGGAGATCGCGGCGGCGCCGTCGTCCGGGCCGTACTTTGCGTTGCACTCGGCCTGGAAGCCGCACTGCGAGTGGACGGACCGCTCCTCGTGGTTGCCTGCGGAGGTATCGTGACGCGTCACGAGTGTGGCAAGGAAGAGGACCCCGCCCCACACGCGCCTCGGTTGAGGAAGACGCTGTTCGGGAGCAGCAGCTGGAAGGCAAACAGCGTGAGGGCGACCTCGACGCTCGCCGGGCCGCGGTCGACAAAGTCGCCATTGAAGACGTACGGCCGCGTGGCGGACGGGAAGCCTTGGCTGCGAAAGATGTGCAGCAGGTCTCCGAACTGGCCGTGCAGGTCGCCGACGACAGTGACGGCGCAGCCGGTCGGCACGTGGTAGCGCCGCACGTTTGGGAACTAAAATGCGAGAACCGCGTTTTCAGTGTGGCGGGCAATTGTCGCGGGCAAGATGACGTCCTTGCCTGAGCCAGCAGGGTCGTAATCTCTCGCAGCAAGCGGGCCACGTACTGCAGTGTCGGCAGCGCGCCGGCGCTCAGTTCAGCGACGAGGTCGAGGACGGACGCCTGGCCGGTCAGCGGTACGGGTAAAGCACCAATGTCGTCAACATGGCATCCACGCTATGGCTCACCTCTGTCAACGGCAGCTGGAGCTCGCGAAGAAGCGTTTCGCCGGCTGGCAGCCAGATAGAGGTGCCCGGCGGAGTGTCGTGACTCTCCTCCATACGCCGCTCAAGCGTAACTGGCTCTCGCTGCGCCAATAGTGCGGCCAGATACTCCGGCAGTGCGCCCGTTGCCCCGTCAGTTGCCCCGACCGACCAGACACGCTGCGCTGCGGAGAGTTGCCTCTTTATTCCACGCCAAATCGAGTCACCGCCAGAATCGGAACGACTGTGCGATGATAGTCCGTTCCGAGGAGTGCGCGGGGTGCTAGGCATGGCATTTGATTCTTGAGCTCTTTTCGAAGCAAGTCCGGGACTGGGGGGTTGGTCGGAGGGCGTCCCATTTGGGCGTCCCACTTGTGTGGAAAAAAGAAATTGGACCCAAGAAATTGGACGGGGTAATGACTGCACTCCAAGTGCTCCAAGTGCGCTGCCTCTCACATCGAGCCTAGGAGGGAGGCGAGTGTGCCGTCGCCGTCAGCGAACAGGTCCTCGTTGTCGAGATAGATGTGAACGGTCGGCATTGGCGCGCGCAGCCTCTCGCTCCGCGCGAGCGGGTGGTACACGTGCACCTCGATCTTGGGCGAGACGAGGTAGCGGAGCCCCGAGCGCACAAGCAGGCTGAAGTCGTCAAATATCTCAAAGTTGGTGAAGGCGGGGGCGACGAAGAGGGCGGCGCCTGCGGGCGCGGCGTGGCGCGGCGGTCTGATCACGGAGGCACGCCAGCCGGCGCTGGGTGCGGACGGCAGCGGCGGGTGCGCGCGCCGCCCGAGCCGTCGAGCAGGTAGTCCGACTCGGCCACGAGCCTCCAGAGGTCGGCGTGCATCTCCTGGACGGTGGGGGCGAAGGTGACCTCCGACGACTTGGTGTGCAGCAGCGAGCGGCCCAGCGCGACGAACGTCTCGTCGTCCGTCGCGGCGTCGTCCGCGTCGGCGTCGATGTCGCCGATCTCGCAAGCCATCAGCGCGCCCGTGAACCACGTCATCATCTGCTCGAGGGCCGCCTCGCGCGTGGTGCTGGCGGCGGCCTCTCTGGCGGGCGACGGCGGCGGCTCGAGCGACGAGGCGGCCGTGGGCTCGACGACCACCCGGATGGCCGCGTCCGCTGTCGCCTGCTCCGTCGCCGGCAGCGTGACGGAGCAGGCGTCTGATCTGCAAAGGTCAGCGCAGCTGTTCATGTACTCCAGGACGAGCGCCGCGTCCGCCGTCGCCTCGATCGGCAGGGTCGCCTCTCGTCGCGTCTGCGTCTTCTGTGTCTCAACCACTTGGGACCAGAAGGCTGCGATCGCGGCGGCTGCGCTGAGGCCGCCAGAGCCGGCCGTCGCGGCCGCGGCCGCCGGCGCCGCGCGAGCCGCTGGCGTGCACGCAGCGACGGCGGCCCGCGGGCACGCAGCCGGGACGTTGAGGCCGAGCGGGGTCAGCAGCGCGAGGAGCATCCACGGGCAGAGGAGCCGTGCAAGGAAAAAAATCTTAGGCGGAACCGCCGCTCGCATAGTTGTAGTCTCTTGATCCAAATAAGAAAACAGCACGCGCTGGTACACTTCTTTCCTATGCGGTCTTCGAATGATGAAATGAAACACAACCGGAAAGAAGATCGTTCCCACCGCCCGCCATGTGCCGTCATCGAATGAATTGGTCCACGTAATCTGCGCCCAAGCCAACGTGCTTGTAGTGCGCACGCGCCTTCTCCAGCTTTGTGAAGACATCGTCGAAGCCGAGCACGGTGGCGGGGTCGTCGGGGTCGCAGTACAAGAGGGCGCCCGTCACGTGGAAGAGCGTAATCATCTCCTCCTCCCCGACCACGAGCGTGTGCGTCTCGCCGGGTGGCTCAAAGACGTACGTGCCAGCCTGCGCCTCCCACGCGTGCTCCTTGTAGCCCCACGTCCCGCGGATCGTGTGGGCGTGCACCGGCGACGAGTGTCGGTGGCAGCCGAGCGTGCCACCGCCGACGAAGCGCAGAAGATTGACGTAGTAGCCTTGGCTCACGCACAGGCAAAGCGGCCGGAAGGAAAGGCAATCCGTCTGCGGCACCCACAGGCGCTCGTCGTCCGTGTCGCTGATAGCCGGGACGACGATATCAGGCAGCGCCTCCGCCGGCGCCGCCATCTGTGGCGGTCCGCCGCTGCGAGACTCGCGCGCCTCAAGGATGGATGGCAGCTCGTTGGGATCGCGGGTGCTGCTGCCGCTGCTGTCGCCGCCGCTGCTGCCGCTGCTGCCGCCGCCGCCGCCGCTGCCGCTGCGAGAGCTCAGGACAAACAACCCGCTCATTGCCACTGCCAGCACACTGCCGTCGAGGATGCCGACATCGCGGAGAGTCCACTCTGACCACGTGTCCGGCTCGACGAGTCTGGGCGCCCACTGCCTCGACGCCAGTAGCAGTGGTCTCGGTGCTGGTGCTGCGGCGATGGCAAAGCAGTGCACCTCGTTTACGGCGAGAAGCAACAACAACGAGGAGCGCCTCGAAAGTGGTGCGGGACGCGGTGCGGGCATGCCAACCCGGCTAAAAGAATTGTTACGCGCTCGACAATTTTCCCTCGAAAAGAATTTTTCTCCCTCACTAAAAGAATTCAATTTTCCTCGCCTGCGCAGTTCGCGGCGAAGCGCCCGCCGATTTCGCACGCGCGGTGGGGGCGCCTCGCCCGCCAGGGCCTCCTCCCTCACCGCTATGAGGATGCCGGTGGCCGTCGCCGTGCTGGGCATGGCGAGCGGGGTGGCGGCCGCCGGCGCATTCGACCCTCTCTCCAACGTCTGCCTGCTCACCATCATGACGCAGGAGCGGCTTGCCTCGCTGCACCGCATGTTGCTCTCGTGGGACGGCTGGGTCTCCATCGCAATGCTCGTCGAGGCGGACGAGTACGCCTCGCTCGCCGGTGCGGGCCCAGACATGGCGCTGCGCTACCGTGGCAGGTCCGTCGCGGCGCCAGAGCGCGTGGCGCTCGCCCTGGTAAGTGACGTCGGCTACCGCGCCCCGTCCAACCGCTTCCCCTACAACCTACTGCGCAACGCGGCGCTGCGAGGGTGCGAGGCGACGTACGTGTTCGCGGCCGACGTAGACTTTGTTCCCTACCCGGTGCGACCGTCGGCGCGGCTGCGCTCGCGCCTCGAAGAGCTCGAGGTGCGGCCCGGCTCGAAGAACGTCCTCGTCGTCGCCGCCTTTGAGCAAGTCGGGCCGCGGCCGAGCGAGGCGGAGGGTGCGGCGCTGGACAAGCCGGCACTGCGCCAGCTCGTCGGCTCGGGCGATCTGATCTCCTTTGCCTCGGCCGTCTACGAGCGTGGACACGAGTGCGACCAGGCGAGCGTGATCTACTGCTGCTACCCCTGCCCCGCTGGCACCGATGCCGCCACCAGCGCCACCAGCTCCGCCCGAGTCGCCGTCGCGGTGGCCAACAGCACCGCCCGTTCATCTCACAGCCGCTCCGCTCGCCACCCTCGCTCCAGGTGCACACCTTCCTCTCAGCAGACACGCCTTTTGCCACTGAGTATCGGTTTGGGTGCGAGCCCTACACCATCGTACCTCGCGCCGACGCACACGCCTACGAGGAGACCTTCGTGGGCTATGGCAAGGACCGGGTCTCCTGGAACTACGAGCTGGCCGCCAAGCAAGCAGCGTGGCACGTGGTGGGCTCCATCCTTAGCCTCCCCTCTCCGGCCTGTGCTTGCGCTCAGCCGAGCGCTATAAGCCGACTCTGACCTTGTGCACGCAGGTGCCCGACGTCTTTCTGGTCCACTTCAACACCTACGATGAGGCCAAGCCAAAGGCAAAGTACGGCCACTTTCCGACCGACTGGCTCATCGGGGAGAGCTGCTGGCCGCCCTTTCGCGACCGCGTCGCCGCCGCGTACAACTACTCGTACTATACGTGCCACCAGGCCAGCATCGATGCCATGAGCGACCGTCGGCTGTCCAGCTGCGTCGCAGAGGCTGAGCGCGTCTGTGTTGCGCCCTACTGTGTGCCTCCGACAACCACCTTCCGCCCAGCCGCCGCCGACCCGGCTGCTAAGGCGGCAGTGTCGCCCGGCCGCCCCTTCACGCTTCCACCGCCACCGCCTCCGGCACCAGTGCGTTACCCTGGGCCCGCAGTGGTGATGCTCGGCTGCGAGGGATGCGGCGTCGTCGAGATGTTCCGCACGCTTTCTCGAGTCGGCGGCATGGCGGCCGCGGGGGCCGACGCTTCGGAGCCGAGCTGGCGAGACCGGCAGGTCAACTTTTTTGACGTCGAGGCGCGCTTCCTCCTCGGCCAGGAGTGGTACCTGCGCCGCTGGCCGCTCATCGACGGCGGGGAGCCGCGCGGCATCGACGGCTCCGGCTCGTACCTGCACTCCTCCGAGGCGATGCTCCGACTCCCGGCGACGCTGCGGCCCTCCACGACACTGCTTGTGTTGCTGCGCGACCCTGCTTCACGCGCCGCGGTGCGATGGCGCGAGCTTCGCCGTCGGCAGGACTACGCTCGCGGCGCAACCTACGCAGGCAAGCTGTACGCCGAGGCGTCTGCGCTTCTGCGCTGTATCGAGCCATCGGCGCTGAGCGGCGGCATGGGAGACGGTGGCGGCGGGCAGAAGCGCCAGGAGGCGCAGTCCGAGGTGGCGGCACGCTCGACGGGGGATGGCGCGGCGAGCGAGCTAAGCAGCGAGCGCTGGGAGAAATGTGCACTGATCGCCTCGGGACTTCGCTCGTCCGTGGTCGGCGGAGGAATCTACGAGCCTCAGCTGCGTGCGTGGTTCGCCGCGGCGCGAGCGTTTCGGTGGGTCGTGCTTCCTGCGGAGGCTCTTGCCGAGCCTACCGCCGCGCACGCCGCCCTCGAACGCCTCGGCCTAGCGCGGCCCGAGTGCGTCGCACAGGATCTCTCGGACCGCCTTGCGGCCCCACCAAACAGCACAGCGGCTGAAGAAGGGCCTGTCGCTCCAGCACACGGCCGCAGAGTGCACCGCACCATTCACGCGGCAACCGCGGCGGGGGCCAGCATTGCCGCCGCGAGACAGGCCGCCGAGGACATGCTGCGCGCCTTTTTCGCGCGATACAACGGCCGGCTTGCGCCGCTCCTGGTCGAGGTCGATCCAGAGTCGCAGGCCCTCTGGCGTGCCGCCGCTTGGCTGCCCCGTGGCGATGAGGCGGAACAGGCGATCGGCGCGACGGGTCGCCGCGCGCTTCTCGCGTCAATGGCCTCGCTGAGAGCCGCGCTAGTCGCCAGTGGGGAGCCGCCAGAGGCCTCAGCTGTCGGCGCCGGCCGGTGGCTCGGAAGCGCGCCGAGACCGCGGGTCTTCTTGCTCGGGCCTCGTGAAGCAGCCGCTGAGGTGCTCACTGCCACACTGCACGGCGGGCAAGAGCATGGCACTTGCGTCGGGGCTCTCAGCCTTTTCGATGACGACACACGCTACCTTGGTGGCCTCGCCCGCGCCGCTTCCCGCCTGATGCGACGAGCTGACCTGCTCACCTCGGCTACCATCTCGAATGGGACAGCGCTGGGCAGGCCCTGCGCTCACCTCGTTGACACCACCGCCTACTTGCACACCCGTTGGGCTGCGGCGCGCATCCGCTCAGCGCTCCCGCCTGCTGAGCAGCTGCGCTTCATCGCCGTGCTGCGGGATCCGGCGGAGCTCGCACTCCGACACTGGCGTGCGTTGCGGGGCGCTGTTGCGGCGCGGCTCGCGCCGAGTCGCTTGCTCCGCGGCTCGGACGGTTTGCCCGGTGCCGTTCGACGCGGCGCCGCCCCAAACGCCAGCCGCGCTGGCAGCGCTTCAGCCAGCGTCTTGGGGTACCAGAGGTACTTCAACGGGAGCACGCTCGCGCGCAAGGTGCGCGACGAGGCGACGGCCATTCGCGGTTGCTTGCGAGGGAGGGGTGCCGCCGTCGGCGGCGTAAGCTTTGACGATTGGAAGGCGTGCACCACGCTGCAGTGCAACTGGATGGAGTGCCTCCTCGCCTGGGGCATGTACGCACCGCAGCTGCGCGGCTGGCTAGGCCTCTTCAGCCCGCGGCAGTTTTTACTGCTCGAGGCGACGCAGTTGACAGCGGAGCCTCGCGCTGTCGCTGCGCAGGTCGCCAACCCTCCCTGCCCGGCCCGCTGCGCTCCCTCGCCCTCTCGCGCACATTGCCTCACATGTCTCCACCCCTCCGCGCTCCCGCACGCAGCTCGCCGACTTCATGCAGCTGCCCCCGCTCACCGACACGCTCGTCGAAGGGATCGCGGCGCGCGAGGCGGCGGCTCGCGCGCCACCCGGTCAGAGCAAGCAGGCGGTGGCTCTGCTGCGGTCCTTTTACGCTGACCACAACCCGTCGGTCCGAGCGCTCTTCGAGGCGATGGCTCGACCGGGGGCGTGGCGCAGCGCGGGGTGGCTCAGCACGGCGGCGCCCGCCCGGACGACCAAGGCGTAAGAGCTTGTGGTTCTCGGCGCATGATGTCGTGTGAAAGATTCGAGAGAGATAGTGCATTTAGTGCCCCCCGCGGCGACGCCGAACGGCGCGATGCTCGGCGAGGGCGTTGTTGTCGAGGCGTGTTAGGTGCTTCAGCTTGTGCGGACACGCCCGGGGCCCGAGGTGGCCGCGTGCGCGAGCCGAGGGACGAGGGTGCACAGCGGATACCATAAGCCTCCTCGATCTAGAGCGCAGAGGTGCGGTCGCGGGTCTCGGTGTTTCGCTAGGCCCCTTGGGCGGCCGATCGCGATACGCGAAAAACGCCGGAACTTCCCCAAAGTTGCAGCTCCGTTTGCAACCCTGCCCTCTCGCGAGCGTCACGGCTCACGCGCGCGCGCGCGTCGGCGTAAATCTTTTACAAGCCGACACGAACATTTCAGGCAGTTATTATAGTTAACGATTCTTCAAAATGTCTCTCACAGTTCCCGAAAGGGCGATCACAGCGGCCTGCTGATCGCAACTAAGGCCATCGCCCGAGCCAGAGGCGAGGTCGGAGGTCGTTGGCGGAGTCGGTCTGACCACAGGCAACGCGCCACGGTCGGCATCGGGCGCATCGCCGACGCCGCAGAGAGACTTCACAACTCTGCTGGCGGGCCCCCACCGGTCGGCGTCGCCCTCGAGAGTGCCATCGGCGCGAGCGGCGTCGCGAGCGGCAAGCCCGACGAGGACGTGGATGTGAGGCGTGATCGAGTTGTTGCCGTAGGCGCAGGGCGTCGCGTGGAGCACCTTCGAGGCCGCTGCCTGGCGCACCTTGAAGAGGCTCGCGTCGAAGCGTCCCCGCTGCTCGCCGCCCGGGCGGGGAGGGTGCAGGTTCAGGCTCCACAGGTCGTTCAGGTCCGCCTCGCCGTCGAAGCCGCCAAAGCAGTGCAGCGTCAGGCCGTCCGCGCACAGCCCGAGGCACGCGCGCGCGGGAGGGCCGACGGGAAACGGTCCGTCCGGCGCGCCGCCCGCGCCGCCTGCGGCCTGCGCCTTGCTCGGCAGGGCGAGGCGCCTCGGCGGCCGCACGTCCTCTCCGCCGCGCAGCAGCCACGCGTCGGCGGGAGGGACGAAGCCGAAGTCCTCCCCGACGCCGCCGAACACGACAAGGCCGACGCCGCGGACGGCCGCCGCGGCGCCGTCGATGCGGGGGCTCGGGTGCGGCGGCGTGTCGGTGGGGAGGGGGACGGAGGACCAGGTGGCCGTCCGCAGGTCGAGGGAGGAGAGGGTGCGCCTCGTGATGAGCGTCTCGTCTTGGCCAGAAAAGATGAGCAACGTCGCGTCGCTCACCACACCGCCCGAGTGGTGCGCCCGCTTGACCGCGGGCCCGCTCGTCGCCAGCTCAACCCACTCGCAGCCTCCGCCCCCTCCCCCGCCGCCCCCGCCGCCCCCGCCTCCGCCGCCTCCGCCGCCTCCGCCGCCTCCGCCGCCTCCGCCGCCTCCGCCGCCTCCGCCGCCTCCGCCGCCTCCGCCGTGCGGCCGCAGCAGCCACGTGTCGCCGAGCACGCCGCCCGACGAGAGGCCGCCGTGAAGGACGAGGGAGCGGTCTGCAGGCCACGAAGCGCAAACGTGCGAGGAGCGCGCGGCGGGCGAGGAGGCACCGAGAGGCCGCAGCTGCCTCCAGCAGAGAGGAGGAGCCGCCGCGTGCTTCGCCGTGCCGGTCGGAGCAGCGAGGCTGGCGCTCCACAGGTCGTCGAAGAGTGCCTCGTTGCCGGCGTCGCCGTCACCGGCGCCGCCGAAGACTACCATCGGCGGAGCTGCTCCTCCTCCGTGGCCCTCCTCCCAGAGTGTGGCGGTGTGGTAGCAGCGGGCCGGGGGTGCAGCGCAGCCGACGAGCTCGTCCCAGATCGCCACCCCGGATCGCAGCGTGACCAGGTACGTGGCCTTAAGAGTGTCACCGGAGGAGGAGTCCCGACCGCCGAAAAGGCACAGGCGGTGCGGCGCGAGCGCGCAGAGCGACGCGCCCGACAGCTTGGGCGCCGCTTGGAGGGCGAGGGTGAAGTTGGTCTTTGCCCGCACAGCCCGCAGTGCACGCACAGGGGCCCACCTGGAGGCGCCGCCGCCGGACAGCAGCGATCCCGCCAGAGCGCAGAGCTCCGCTGGACGAAGATCGCTCTCGACCGGCACGCGCTCTCGCAGCGCCTCGAGCGCCGCAAAGTGCGTGATGTGCGAGGCCGACACCAGATTCATCAGGTGCCGCCACTCTGCAGGCGGTGCTGCGAAGAGGCGCGGCGGCAGCAGCGCCGAGGCGAGTTCTGCCAGCACCTCCAGTGGCAGCGCGGTGAGCGTGGCGACCTCCTCCGCCTCTTCCTGTGTTGCTGGAGCGGCCTCTGCGTGAGCGTGGGCGTCTGGCATACGCACGACCAGCTGCCGCGGCGCAGCTGGCCGCAGTGTGAGCACTCGCGGGGTTATGCGTTTACGTGAGCACTCGTCGGGCTCTGAACTTTCTTCCGAAGAAAAAGAATTCCGAAAAAGTATCTCGCACAGCACACAGGTCGACACAGGTACCAAAAGAGGCAAGAAAAGGAAGCCGAGGAAATTTACAATCCTCGCAAAACACCGCGCTGCGAGCCTGTCGTGTCCCTTGTCAGGAGCAGGAGAGCCCACCTGTCCCCCCTCATCGTCCTTCCAAAATTCTGCTCGTGCAGGTGTGGACCCTGTCCTCCTCCCCTATCCCTCGTTTGGGTTGTCTATTTTCTTTCTTTCTTTGCGAGGGAGTTTGTTTGGAAACTTCTTTCTTTTTTCTTTCACCCTGTGTCCCTGATCGTCCTTACAAGATCCTGCTCGTTCAGGTAGGGAATAACCCTGTCCACGCTGCCTTCTCCCACGACCCACGGCACGACCCACCCCTCGTTTTGGAGAGAGAAGAAACTTTTGCCTCGAGACTTTTGCTCGTTTGGGGTGTGTCCGTTTTATTTATTTATCGCACAACACTTGGACGGAGGGAGGGAGGGAGGGAGGGGGAAAACATAGCAGAACACCAAAGCTCCAACCTCAAGAAGAGAGAGACCTGTCAGAGCTCCTCTCCAACCCCAAGTGCTCTACCCACTCTCCGCCGACTGCAGCAGCCGGCGGCACCGCTGGAGCGACAGCTGGTCCCCGGCCTCCACGCCGTGCGCCGCCTCTGCGGTGAGCAAGGCCTACGCGAGAGCACACGCAGACGGGCGTGAGCGGACGTGGCCGGAGGGCCTGCGGCGCTCGCCGCCAGCGGCGCGCAGCAACCACCTCGATCCAGCCTCGCGGGGTGTGGCAGCCGCGCAGCGTCTTTGCGCCTCCCGGCACTCCAAGCCGGAAGCGGCCCTCCCCTGCGATGGACGGGTCGGCGCCAGCCTCGAGGAGCAGGGCGACGAGCCTCGGCAGGCCGCGGCACGAGGCGATCACGAGCGGCGTGCAGCTCCGGTCGCCGCTTGGCCGCGCATTGGCGTCGCAGCCGCGCTCACGCAGCAAGTGGGCCGCGCACAGCGCCAGGTTCGCCTCGCGCGTGCCTCGCGCCTTGCACACCTACCACACCATTCGGGAGAGGCTTGCTCGCCTCGCTGCACAGAGCCGTCGAACCACACACACCCTCGCGCCTCCATGAGCAGCGTGGCGTTGTAGACGGGCGACGCGTGATCGACGAGGGCGCACGAAAAGCGCGCGAGAAGGTGCTTTAGCTTGGCGAGCGTCAGGTGTCGCTTGTCCTGGCCGCAGACCGCGACGCTGTGGTGCAGCGCCTCAGCGCGCGTCAGCAGCAGGCCCCACGCGCGCACAAAGGACGCCTCGCCGCCACGGACGAGCCGAGCCGACTTACGGCTCGAGAGACAGGCTGGAGCACCGTCGCGAGGATCCAATCGCGGCACTAGAGCCTGCCAGACGGTGTCTCCTGCCATACACACCGCACCTCCGCTGCTCGATGCACGTACGGCCGCGATTGTGCGAGGCAGCAGCGAAAGCGGCACGTGAGCCAGGATGCGGCCCACCGTGTCGATAGGCAAGAATTCAAAGGGGTTCGTGCAGGTCATCCCAGCGGTGCGCTCGCTGGCTGGCTCGCCTGCGGGGGTTCAGTCTTGTGGGTGCACAAGGCGAGGGCTGAGAGACACACCCTCCGCGCGGTGAAGGCTCGGGAAAAGAATTTTCGCAGCATTGAGACCACCGCATATTTCTTTTTATCGCGATGTCTGCCCTGCCGCGCCGCCGCTCGCGCCGCCTCGCCAAACGCCGCCGCCCGCCCGCCTCCTCGACCTGCCCACGGTGCTCTCCTCCTGCTGCCACGTGCCAGGACGAAACTTTTGTTGTTGTTCATTCCCAGCGCTCGCTGTGGAAGCGGCTGCGGTACACATAAGACAGCCGGCTCGTGTGTGTCGAACTATCCTTAAAGAACACGGCTAACCGATCTCGACAGCGCTCACCAAGTCTGCCCTCCTCCCGCCGCCTCACCGGCACTCCTCACCGCCGGTGCCCCGCCGCCGCCGGGAGATCGCCCTCGGCCGGCGAGGTGTACTCTCCCAGCGTCGCCCGCAGCGCCTCGCCCTCCTTGAGCGCGCGCACGAGCAGGTTGGCGAGCGTGTGGTAGAAGCGCACCGAGTTCGCGTTGGCCGGGATCGGGTAGTCCACGTCGCGCGCGGGGCCGTCCGTGTCGACGACGCCGATCACGGGGATGTTTGCGGCGGCTGGTTCGCCGTGAAGCGAGGTCGAGTCGAGCAACACGATGGCGTCGGGCGGGCGCGCCATGTGCTCGATCCCCTTGAAGTTGAGCGCGCGCTGCACGTCGCTCTGCCGCACGCGGCCCGTCCGCTGCGCGATGGGCGACAGCTCGATCGCCTTGCGGACCTGCCGGCGCGAGAGCTCCCAGTTGGAGAGGAGGCCGGGCGTCCACTTGCGCGCGAGGTAGAAGTGGCCGCTCTGCTCGCCGATGACGCGCGTCAGCCGCGCCAGCTTGGGCTGCGTGCTCACCACCAGCACCTTGCCGCCCGAGAAGGAGATCTTCTTGAGGAGCGAGAGCACGCGCCGCAGCGAGAGGAGCGTCTTCTCGGGGTCGATGATGGCGTGGCCCGAGAGGAAGCCGAGGAGGTAGCGGTAGTTGGCCGGGTGGGTCACCCGCTGCTCGTACCCGAGGAAGGCGCGCGTCGCCATCAGGTCGCGCGTCGTCAGCGTGCGGCCGCCGTCCGAATCGCGGCGGAATCCCGGAGGCTGCGGATAGCTGCTGCTGCTGCCCGCGGCGGGCGGCCGCGGCGGGCGGGACTGCAGCTCCGCCCCGGACGAGGCGCCTCTCCGCGCCGCGCGCGAAAGGCCCGCGCCGAGGCGGTGGCCGACGCGCAAGTGTCGGAACATTGAGTGTCACGGCGTGTGAGGGTTTGGAATTTTTTATGCGCCACTTTTTCTTCCCATCCTCCATTCATGCATCCCCGTCATGCTGGGGTGATCAGTAGTAGGGAGCTCGCCGTCCACAACGTGGGGCTCAATGGATATGAGGAACGCGGGGCTCCGATAGGGTCCCGCGCCGGTCGGGTTGGTGTACCGACGGGGACCCTAACCCGCTGAACCTCCCGGCTAGGCCGGTAGGGGACGGGGCGGCACTCGTATAGCAAGGCCCGTGGGGCACTCGCCACGGGCCGCTCCCACATGTCCCGGGCACAACTCCTCCGGAGAGTTCGCCCACCACAGGACCGATGTCCATGTGGGTCAGTCAGTGTTCGTTGTGGCGACCGAGTGCTCGCTGAGCGGCACCGAAGTGTGTCGCTACGGGCGGGATATGCTAGCTATTCTCGATTGCTCACCTTGATGCGATTGCTTGCGCGAAGGCAGCGGAGGCGCGCAGCGGGAGACAAGCGATCCTGCTGCTGCAAGAGCAAAGCAGGTTAGGCCGAGCGACTGTCGACTCGAGCGTTGGTCGATCTGCGCGTGTAGGCGGAGCAGATAACCACCACGGCCGCGGCACACCTCGCAAAGGTGGCCCATGTGTACAGCGCGCCGAGAGGTCGCGCGACGGGGCCGAGTCGAGCGTCGCGCTCAAGCCGTTGCCTCTGGTCTGCATCGTGCGCCACACGGCGGCGCGTCGATAGCGATGTAGCGCCCCAGGGGCACCCGAGAGGGCGCCTGCGCGGCTGAGGGGCGCGCTAGAGCAGCCCGGTGAGCCCTAGCGAGGCGCGGGGCGCGCTCGAGCGGGCAGCCGCTATGAATGTCCAAGTATGCCGAGATGAGGCATGCTCGTGTAAGAGGCGGCGAGGCGGCTGCGGCTGCAGGCGGCCTTCTCGCCAAAGGCACGCGGCGCGTAGGCGTGCGGTGCGTGTAGAGGAGGCGCGGCCCGCCTCGCGAAGGCGGCCAGCGCATGTGTGGCGCGCCGAGAGGTCGTTCGACGCAGCAAAGTAGAGCGTCGCGCTCGATCGACCCGAGCAGCTGTCTCTGGTTTGCGTCGCGCGCCACACGGCGGCGCGTCGCGGGCGATGAAGCGCCTCGAGAGCACTCGGGAGGGTGCCTGTGCGGCTGAGGGGCGCGCTAGAGCGGCATGGTGAGCCCTAGCGAGGCGCGGGGCGCGCTCGAGCGGGCGGCCGCTATGAGTCTCTGGGTATGCCGAGATGAGGCATGCTCGTGTGAGAGGCGGAGAGGCGGCTGCGGCTGCAGGCGGCCTTCTCGCCAAAGGCACGCGGCGCGAAGGCGTGCGGTGCATGTAGAGGAGGCGCGGCCCGCCTCGCGAAGGCGGCGAGCGCATGTGTGGCGCGCCGAGAGGTCGTTCGACGCAGCGAAGTAGAGCGTCGCGCTCGATCGACTCGACCAGCTGCCCTCTGGTTTGCATCGCGCGCCAAAGGGAGGCGCGTCGCGAGCTAGGGAGCGCCCCGAGGGCACTCGGGACGGTGCCTGTGCGGCTGAGGGGCGTGATGTAGCGGCACGGTGAGCCCTAGCGAGGCGCGGGGCGCGCCCGAGCGGGCGGCCGCTATGAATCTCTGGGTATGCCGAGAAGAGGCATGCTCGTGTAAGAGGCGGAGAGGCGGCTGCGGCTGCCGGCGGCCTTCTCGCCAAAGGCACGCGACGCGAAGGCGTGCGGTGCGTGTAGAGGAGGCGCAGGGCGCCTCGCGAAGGCGGCCAGCGCATGTGCAGCGCGCCGAGAGGTCGCCCAGCGCGGCGGAGTCGGGCGTCGCGCTCGATCGACTCGAGCAGCTGCCTCTGGTTTGCATCGTGCGCCACACGGCGGCGCGTCGCGGGCGATGAAGCGCCTCGAGGGCACTCGGGAGGGTGCCTGTCTGGCTGAGGGGCGCGCTACAGCGGCATGGTGAGCCCTAGCGAGGCGCGGGGCGCGCTCGAGCGGGCGGCCGCTATGAGTCTCTGGGTATGCCGAGATGAGGCATGCTCGTGTGAGAGGCGGAGAGGCGGCTGCGGCTGCAGGCGGCCTTCTCGCCAAAGGCACGCGGCGCGAAGGCGTGCGGTGCGTGTAGAGGAGGCGCGGCCTGCCTCGCGAAGGCGGCGAGCGCATGTGTGGCGCGCCGAGAGGTCGTTCGACGCAGCGAAGTAGAGCGTCGTGCTCGATCGACTCGAGCAGCTGTCTCTGGTTTGCGTCGCGCGCCACACGGCGGCGCGTCGCGGGCGATGAAGCGCCCCGAGGGCACTCGGGAGGGTGCCTGTGCGGCTGAGGGGCGCGCTACAGCGGCACGGTGAGCCCTAGCGAGGCGCGGGGCGCGCTCGAGCGGGCAGCCGCTATGAATCTCTGAGTATGCCGAGATGAGGCATGCTCGTGTAAGAGGCGGCGAGGCGGCTGCGGCTGCAGGCGGCCTTCTCGCCAAAGGCACGCGGCGCGAAGGCGTGCGGTGCGTGTAGAGGAGGCGCAGGGCGCCTCGCGAAGGCGGCGAGCGCATGTGTGGCGCGCCGAGAGGTCGCTCAGCGCGGCGGAGCCGAGCATCGGACGCGCTTGATCGACCCGAGCAGCTGTCGCTGGTTTGCGTCGTGCGCCACACGGCGGCACGTCGCTGCAGCGCGCCCCGAGGGCACTCGGGAGGGTGCGAGTGAATAGGGACGGCTCCGACGCTATCATTGAGTTGCTGTCGTGGGCGTGCCACGCCCTCGATCGTCGGCGAGAGGCACCCAGCGAGCGGCTAGCGCGGGGGGCCGATCGTCATTGGGTCATTATCGTGGGCGTGCCGCCCTCGATCGTCTGCGATGGGCGCCCAGCGAGCGCAGAGCGCGGGGGGGCGACACACGCGACAGGTGCTCTGTGAGCGACCTGTGAATGATAGATGTGAACAGGCGAGGTTTGACGCCATCGCCCTCACGCCCTGCATGGTGGCAGAGAAGGGGAAGGTCGGTGGGTGCGCGAAGCGTTGTCGCGGGGCCCAGAGCCGGGCGCGAGGCGCTCGGCTGTGGTAGGCAAGTGGGCGAGCGCCATTGGGCGGCTCAGCCATAGGCACGTCGTAGGAACGCGTTGTCTTGAAAGTAGGCGCGTACGTCCTCTTTCGTTTTCACAGCAGAGCCAGACTCTGTGTGTGAGGGCTGGATGCACCAGTACTCCGGTGTGAAGAAAGGCTACCGCCCCGCTCGTACCTCGCGGGGCTATCGCTCATTCTTCCCATCCTCCATTCATGCATCCCCGTCATGCTGGGGTGATCAGTAGTAGGGAGCTCGCCGTCCACAACGTGGGGCTCAATGGATATGAGGAACGCGGGGCTCCGATAGGGTCCCGCGCCGGTCGGGTTGGTGTACCGACGGGGACCCTAACCCGCTGAACCTCCATCGAGTAAGTATTGAAGTGGGTTAGGATCGAGAGAGCTCGTATCCATTGAGTCCCGTGTGGAGGGATCGAGATCATTCGTTTACATGATGTGTACAAATTTCATCCTTCCCCTGAGCGCACGAGAGCGACAGGAGCGCACGAGAGCGACTGTAGTGGAGTCACTAGTGCGCAATGACGGCGCTAGCGGTCTTCGGGTCCGCACCCCTCTCCGTCTCGCGCCTCGGCGGCGGCGAGCGGCTCGCATCAGCTCACCTGCTCCTCGCGGTGGCTAGCCACCCTTTCTCCGGGCTCGAGCCGTAGAAGTGGCGAGTGGTCTCGTGAGCGCACTGCTGGTGGCTGGCGGTCCTCGGGTCCGCACCCCTTCTCCCAACTCGAGCCGTGGTGGCGAGTGGTCTCATGAGCGCACCGATGGTGGCTGGCGGTCCTCGGGTCCGCACCCCTTCTCCCAACTCGAGCCGTGGTGGCGAGTGGTCTCATGAGCGCACCGATGGTGGCTGGCGGTCCTCGGGTCCGCACCCCTTCTCCCAACTCGAGCCGTGGTGGCGAGTGGTTTTATGAGCGCACCGTTGGTGGCTGGCGGTCCTCGGGTCCGCACCCCTTCTCCCAGCTCGAGCCGTGGTGGCGAGTGGTTTTATGAGCGCACCGATGGTGGCTGGCGGTCCTCGGGTCCGCACCCATTGCCAGCCGGAGCCGTGGAGGCTGCTACGGCACCTCCTCTCTGCGGGGAGCGGTCGGTGGCGTTGCCACTGGACGCGCTGCGACCCAGGAGTGGTCTCATGAGCGCACCGATGGTGGCTGGCGGTCCTCGGGTCCGCACCCCTTCTCCCAACTCGAGCCGTGGTGGCGAGTGGTCTTATGAGCGCACCGTTGGTGGCCGGCGGTCCTCGGGTCCGCACCCCTGCGCATCAGAGTGTATCTCGGCGAGGCTGCTGCGCTCACACGCATGTGATGCGAGCCTGCGCCACTCCATCCGGCCCGCAGTGGGCCCACGGGATGGTGAAGGGCACATGCGTAGAGAAGTGCGAGGGTGAGAGGCACTGGATTTCCGGAGTGCTCGCGACGGTCGGGAAGCGATCCCGCGTGGCAGCCCCGATGTAGGCGCACCGCCTGGCACCCTCACTTCACCCTCTCTGCTGCATGTTCGAGCTGTGGTTGGCTCTGAAGCAACTTGGCCGACAAAACTTTTCTGTCAGAATCGTCGCAGAAGCAGGACGGCCCGCTGGCAGGAGCGGAGCCGGTCGGTTTCCATTGTCAAGACTGCGCGAAGCGTTGTCGCGGGGCCCAGAGCCGGGCGCGAGGCGCTCGGCTGTGGTAGGCAAGTGGGCGAGCGCCATTGGGCGGCTCAGCCATAGGCACGTCGTAGGAACGCGTTGTCTTGAAAGTAGGCGCGTACGTCCTCTTTCGTTTTCACAGCAGAGCCAGACTCTGTGTGTGAGGGCTGGATGCACCAGTACTCCGGTGTGAAGAAAGGCTACCGCCCCGCTCGTACCTCGCGGGGCTATCGCTCAGTGCTGCGCTGTGCGATCGCCTGTCAGGAGCAGGAGAGCCCCGCCTGTCCCCCTGATCGTCCTTCCAAAATCCTGCTCGTGCAGGTGGGGACCCTGTCCTCCTCCCCTATCCCTCGTTTGGGTTGTCTGTCTTCTTTCTTTCTTTGTGCGAGACCTAGAGGGAGGAACAGCGTGTGCGGGCGCAACACCCGAGCCCCGCGAGGTTACAGCAGAAAAAGAAATCGCTCGACCCGCCAGCTGATCCGAGACGACATCCCTCAGGTCATCGGTGCTGGCCTCGGCGCTGGCTCGTCTTTGCTGGGCGAGTCGAAGAGGCGCTCCATGCGACGCATGAGCAGCACTGCGGCGCGCGTGCTGCGGGTCGGCGGCGTGCCGGAGCACTTCAACGCGCCGTGGCACACGGCGGCAAAGGCGGGCCTCTTTGCGGAGCGCGGCATTGACGTGCGGTGGACAGACTTTCCAGGAGGCACGGGCGCGATGGCAAAAGCCCTCCGCGACGGCGAGCTCGACGTGGCGATCCTGCTCACCGAGGGCATCGTCGCCGACATCCACCGCGGCAACCCGGCGCGGCTGGTCGGCACCTACGTGAGCTCGCCGCTCACGTGGGGCATCCATGTCGCGGCCGATTCGCCGCTCACCGACGCGGCGCAGCTCTACTCGCAGCCCGCGGGAGACGGCGGGGCGTCGCCGCGCTTCGCCGTCTCGCGCATGACGTCGGGCTCACACCTGATGGCCTTTGTCGACGCGCAGCAGCGGGCCGGCGAGGCTGCGGCCGCCTCGCTGCGCTTCGAGATCGTTGGATCGCTCGAGGGCGCGCGGGAGGCGCTGCGCGAGGGGCGCGCCGACGGCTTCATGTGGGAGAAGTTCACGACCAAGCCGCTCGTCGACTCGGGCGAGTGGCGGCGGGTGGGCGAGTGCGTGACGCCGTGGCCTTGCTTTGCGCTCGCCGCGACGCCGGCGGCGCTCGGCGGCCTCTCGGGCGAGATCCTCGGCGCATCGCGGCACGGGGTGCGGCCGAGCGCAGTGCGCCTCTCGCCAGTGCTCCCTCCCATTCCTCCGCAGGCGCGATGCACGTCGTTGCGCACGAGGCTGCGAGGCTGCGCGCGGCCAACGATGGCGTCGAGACCATCGCTGCCATGTACAAGCTGCAGCCGGAGGACGTGACCGAGTGGCTGCAGACGGCGCGGCGGAGCGCTCCTGTGCCCCCCGCGCGACGCGGCACGCCCGCCCCACCCTCCTCCCCTCGCCGGCCGCAGGTGAGCTGGGCGAGCTCGCCGAGCGCGTCCTTCTCGACGCTGCGCACCGTGGCGGAGACGCTCGGCAGGCTCGGGGTGCTGGAGCCGGCGTCGCTGCTGCCGCCCGAGCAGCTGGTGTGCGAGCTCGTGAGCGACGCTGATCGGTTCTGACGCGTGAGCGCGCGCCGGCAGCGCGCCCGTCTTGCGCCGGGCCTCACAATGAGATCGATCCACCCTTTTTTATTTTTAGTTTATTTGATGATGAAAAGCCTGAATTTAATCAACTCTTTCACTCCTGGAGCAGTTTGATACACAAAATGATACACAAAAAACAGCACTCAGAACAAACAACGGAGAGCGACGTTGGACATTCGGCACGATTCCCCCGGACCTGTTGCCCTCTGCCTCGCTCGACATAGAGTACGGACACACGACACGGGGTGCACACGCACCCAAACACCGCACGATGTCTGCAGCCTCGCCCTCTCGTGTGTCTCTACACCCTACCCTACTCTGGCTAGCCCGCAGGCCCTCCACTTCCCGAGGCACACGGGAAGGATGCCAGTCACGCCCGCAAGGAGGGGTTCGCAGTTGCGAACAGGTGATCCACGAGGTTTTCGACTTCAGGTCGTCCCATCTGGACAACAGCTTCCTCTCTGCTCAAGCCCTCGAGCATGAAGCTCGCAAGCATCTCATCCAAGATGGACTCGCGCGTTCTCGGCGCCTGCTGCTCGACTGGGGGCGGGAATTTAGGCTGCAGCGGCATCTCAACCTCTTGCCCTCCGCTCTTGAGCGCCGCAATCAGTCTGCCTAGCGCTCCTCGCTCCGCGGACCATGCGACGTCCCAGTCTGGCTGGCGGGCCGGACCTTGAGCGGCGGCGGCGATGAGCTGCAGAAGCCTTGAGAGTGAGGCTGTCGTCCACGTCACCCGGCGAGAACGGCGCGCATCGCCCGGCGGTGGCGTCTCGAGGAGCAGTATCTTCCCAAAGTGAGCATTTTGTAAATCGCAGCAGAGATAAAGGCAAATCAGATGACCGTCAATGACATCTCGCGTCATCGCCACGGGAAGCCGATCAGCAAACGCACACCCGACAGCCGCGTCGTCCGCATCGAGCGCCGTTCGCGAAAAGCCGGCCCCTTTTCGCAACCTCAGCTTCGGCATGTGCAACGATGCCGTCTGCACATCGAGCCCTTGGTACGTGCCAGTCAGGGGGAGGCTGCCGGAGTCATCAGCGTCCCGGTCATTCTTTGAGCCAAAGCCTTCCGGCACTAGCGCAAAGAAGAGAGCCGCGTCCGCCGGGAGCGTGTAGGCGCAAGCTTGTTGCAGGCGTCGCGCGCCTCCCCGAGGTCACGCAGGAAGCTCTCCATATGTGTTGCAATAGACCCCCGAGCCGGTTGTTGCTGCACCGGCTGATCGAATGCAACGGCGGCGTGGTGGACGGGAGCGGCGGGGGAGCAGGGGGCGACGGCGAGGTTGCGTCCGGAGCCCGGCGGGTCGATCTGCATCGGCTGCACGTCGGCCACGTCGGCTTCTGCCAGCTCTGGCTGCTGGGCGGCGGTCAGCGTGGAGAATGGCAGGACTGTTTGGGGCGCATTTGAGAGCGCTGGCCCCGACGCGCCGTCGGTTTGGTCGGGGTGGTTCCACACCCCTGGTGTTTCTTCATTCCGTCGGGGAGGCTCTGTGCAGGGCGCAGCGAGGGCCGTGGGGAAGGGGCCAGTGGGGCGATGGGCACAGAGGGGGCAATGATCCGAGGTGTGGGCAGGTGTCTAGGTCTGGCTGTCCAGCGAGAGTAGGATGTGCTTAGTACCTGTGCACGAAGGACAGAGGCGGGTCGGAAAGTCGAGACTGCTGACCGCTCCTCCATGGTCCCCCGCCGGTGGACGCCGAGTGCAGTCATCGGTATGCGGGAGGCGTGCGCAAGGGCTCGCGGGGCGGACGCGACGACCTGGCGCTGCCGTCGCGGAGGGCTCGGGCTCGAGTGAGCGCCGCCAGCGACTCGTCGTTGCGGCCGTGGCCGCGCGGGCCACCTGCATCGACGGGCTGCTTAGGGGGGGGGCGCCAATGATACGCTTGCCCGTCGGCAATCCATCCCGTGTTGGCTTCAATTGTACTTCTGTCTTGGCACCAGCTGATGGCTTGCCCGGCCGACATCGCCGGATTCGTGCACGGTATTCGGATTTTGGCTATTTGTTCGTGTGGGGGTATATCGCAGATTTGTCAATGGTACCGCGTCTGCGACGCGGGCGCCTTGCGGGCAGAGCCCTTAGGACACCCTTTTATCTTGCGCGGTCAATATTTAGAAGCCTTCTGGATGGGGCGTGACCTCCTGCCTCGAACCTCCTTCCTTTTTTGAGCAGGTGTGCCGCCGCGCGAGCGACGCTCCGAGATCGCCCGAGATAGCGCGGCGCGGCCCCGAGATCGCCCGAGATAGCGCGAGATCGCCCGAGATCGCGCGGCGCGGCCCGAGGCGAGGTGGATGGGTTGGGAGCGAGGGGGCGCAAGTGTGCAGTGCGGTAGATGGTCAGCTCGGGGCGCAAGAGGTGGCCTGTGAGCCATCCGGCTTACATTACCGCCTGCGTTCTCGCACATGGAGTGCGAGGTATCTAAATCTCGTCTGGCCGTCCCACAAACTGTCACTCCCCTTTCTCCCGGCCGGGGTGGGGCGCGCGGGCGGCGGGTGTGCGGGATGTCTGTGGGCCCGAGAGCGATGTGCCATGTCCGCCTTGCGTTTGTTTCATAACATCGAAGGCTAGCTCAACAAGAATTTTCCATGGACTCCCTCAGTGCAAAAAAGAAATTCACGTGGCCCCGAGTAGCGTAGTGCCGGTGATGAGTTTGTGTGTCTGTGTCGTGTCGCTCGAGCGTGCTGTCACGACTCCTGTCTCGCGTCCACCCATACCGCGCTGGAGTCCAGTCCGAGCCTGACTGTTCTTCTCCTTCCTACATATCTACTTTTTTAGCTTACTGGGAGAAAAGGGAGAGGGAGGCGCGCTTTTTAGGCCCCTTGGGGGCCCTACCACTCAGCGCAGTCGGAGAAGCCGGTGAACGAATCTTCGGAGAGGAGATGGGCCGCAGTCATCACTGGACACTGCCCCGCGCTCAACTTGGGGTCGAGAGATTGTGCGAGAGATTGTGGGTTGAGAGAGCTTGCGTCGGAGTCGTTCCTCCGCATATGTATGTTTATGGTGTGCACACACACACACACACACATGGTGGCGCGATTGTGCGTCAGGCGAAAGCGGCGAGCGGCCGGCGCCCGGCGGAAGTGGCACCCGTGACCCGATGGGGTTTTACTGTTGTGGCACGCCCACAGACAACGGGACTGGCGAGAGCGTGGGATAGAATTTCACAATCTCTTGACTTCTTGGTCCTTGCTATATTGAGAAGAAAATACCTCCTATGTGGCGCTGCGCGCTAGTTTGTCTATGATGAGAGGTTGAGGTGCGAGAGCCCTGCGGAGGCCCTGAGTCCACAAGAATATGTACGGTGCAAGTACAGGTACAAGCAGATGGGCCGGGTGGGTGCGGCTAACGTACAACAACATGCGATCGCGCCCCTCAGCCTCACTCGCCGAGCATGCGCACAAACCCTTCGCGTGGCGGTGGCCTAGTACAGAGGGCTCGCCGGAGCCTCAGCGCGCACGCGGCGGCGGCGGCACCGCCGGTCAAAAGCAGCAGCACGACGACTGCCCACAGAGGGGTCGCCATGAGGAGATCTGCGGGGAAGGAGGCGTCCGGGCAGCTCCCGGCCGTCGCCTCGGCCGCCTTTGCCGCCTCGTTGATGGTGTCGGCCAGCCATGGCCGCCACGCTGGCAGAAGCTCGAGTGGGATGGGCTCCTCGAGTGCGACGTCCTCCGCCGCGCTGCCCTCGCGCACCACGAGCGCCTCGACGGTCGCGCTGAAGGTGGGCTCGCCCGTGGCCCGCACGTGAACGCACGCGGCGCCGCCGATCAGCTCGGAGAGGCTAAACATCCACGGCCGAGCCGCGCGGGTCTGCGAGGCGCCCTTGAAGCGGACTGGCACGGCGGCGCGCACGTCGCGAAGGCGCAGGCGCGCCGAGGTCGTGATTGAGGCGGACGCGTTCGGCTCGGCGCGCGGGTCGCCGCTGCGAGGCCCGGGGCGAGGTAGCTCGAGCTGGACGGTCGCGCTGGCTTCGGCGCGGTCGAGCGCGAACAGCAGCGTGTCCTCTCGCCCTGCCTCCAGGCGCGCCTCGCCCAAGCGCGTCTCCATCGCCACAGCGGTCAGCACCAGCGCCGGAGCCGAAGCATTGTTCGGGAGGAGGCTGAAGCGCGCCGTGCTGCCCTCCTCCAAGGTCCAGCTTGCTCCGTCGCGTAAGGCGCCCGACGGCTCAAGCCGGCAGGCGGAGCCGTCTGTGCTGCTGAGCACGATGGGCGGCACCCCGCTCACGCCCGCTGCGGCCACAGCGCCGCGCACCACCCACCCAAAGATGCGCCCCATCCCAAACCCCTGCATCCACGAGCCAAGCGGCGGCGCCGCATCCGCCTCCTCCGCCCCATCCTGGCCGCCTCCCTCGGCAGCCTCTGGTGGCGCGGCGCACGGCCGGGCGGAGGCGCACCGCTCCGTGGAGAGGAGCGCGCTGCGGACGAGCTGCGGCAGCACGGAGCCGCTCACCGCCTCGCCGCTGAAGCCGCGCAGGTAGAGGTCAGCCAGCTCGTTGAAGGCGCGAGACACGTCGTCTGCCCACCCGCCGCCGAGAGAGCGCGCCTCGACGGCGAGATCCCCGTCCAGCTCGAGCTGCTGCAGCCCGAGCCGGAAGAGGGCGCACGCCAGCACCGAGGCGCCGCCCTCCATGCTCAAGTGCGACGTCTGCGCGCTCAGAGAGACGCTACGGCCGACCATCACCAGCTCGAGCCGCTCCCGCACGGCCCGCGACGCGTCGAGCGCGCCCTCTGTGCCAGGCATGCCCTCTGTGCCAGGCATGCCGCGCAGCGGCGTGGCGGCAGGGAGCCAGACCACGTCGATGCCGGCGCGCACCTCGACGTAGTCAAAGTGGAGAAAGGCGGAGAGCTCGGAGCCGAGCCCGACGGAGAGCAGCGACTGCGCGCCGACAGTCACGTCGAGTGCGGAGAGCTCGAGGCGCAGCGCCCCCGCCTCGGTGCGCGGCGCGCCGTCCACGGCGAGAAACTCGCCCGACGCGGAGAGCGGGCTGTCGCCAAAGAACGCCCCGACCGTCGCGGCGAGCGCCGGCCCGTCGCACCGCAGCACTGCGGCGGCCGGTCGCGAGGCGGTTGCGGGGGCGGACGCGCCGATCCTGCGCAGCAGGTTGAAGAGGCGGAACGGGCCTGCGCAAGCAGGGCTGCGGGGTTGGCAGGGCGTCCCGCCGGGAGCCGGAGGAGGAGGCTGTGGAGGAGACCTCCGTCGGCGAGCAGGCTCTGCGAGAGCGAGTTGAAGAGGCGGCAGTGGTCCGAGAGCATGCAGGGGCTGGAGGAGTGGCCTGCGCGGCGGGGCGAGGGAGTGGGACGGGGCGAGAGAGGGCCTCGCCGCGACACGCAGAGAGGCGTGGCGCCGCCTGCGGCGTGGCGCGGCGGCGGCCGCGAGAGGGGCACGCGGCGGGGCAGCGGCAAGGAGACGGCGGACGCGACGAGCTGCCGCTGCAGCAGCGGCGCCATCACCCGCACGAGCTCGTTGAGCACGCGCGAAGGCTTCGCAGAGTCGTAGATGCGCGCCTACGGGACATGTCTCGGACATGTCATGGCGTGTCCTGAACGTCAGGCTTCGCAGAGTCGTAGATGCGCGCCTCGAGCCCGCCGATCGACACGGCAGCAAACGGGCAGGCGGCGTCGAGCAGCCCGCAGCTGCACGCCGTGCGCGGCTTGCAGCCCGGGTCGCCGAACCCTTGCCGCAGGAGCACCGTCCCGTTCTTCGCCTCGAAGCCGGCCGAGACCTCGGACGCGACCCGCAAGTCGGTGAGGCTGAGGCTGACCGCAGCGTCGCTCAGCAGGTCGGTGAACTGACCCTCTGGCTGCCGCACCGAGAGCGAGGCGGTGCAGGTCATCTCGCGCACGTGGAGGCCGACGCGCAGCGAGTCGGCGCCCCAGCCCCGCGCCTCCCCCGCTGCCTCGCGTGCGCCCGCGCCGGTCAGCCAGTCTGCCCAGTGGAGCGAGGTGGACAAGTCGAGCGGCTCTCGCTCGAGGTAGGCGCACCGGATCCGCGTCAGCGTCAGCGACTGGACCCGGATCACGTTGAGCCCCTGCACGCGCACGGAGCCCGAGAGGGGCGCCGCGATCTCGTACAGCCAGCCGCCCGGCTGCGCGGGGAGCATGTGCACGTCCGGGAGCGAGAGGACGTCCCTGCCGCCGACCAGCTCGAAGAAGGGGCCGACGAGGCACTCGGGCCGGCTGCCCCACTCGGGCGGGCCGGCGAGGAAGCAGCCGCGCGGAGGGGCGCGCGGGGAGGACTCGCCTCCGCCGGTCGCGGGGCGGCGCCACTCGGCGCACGCGCCGGAGCCTGGGCGCGCCGGCGGGAGAGGCGGCGGGCGGGGCGGGCTGGGCGGCAGCGCGGGCGGCGGCGGGGAGGGCGGGTTGGCGAAGCGCAGCACGGCGTCGAGGTAGCGCGAGTCGCCACCGGAGAGGCGGACGGTGAAGGGGCCCGAGCCGAGCGCCTCGAGGAAGGGGACGGTGCCGCTGCAGCAGAGCTGGTCCGAGAAGGGGTCGCTGTCGTAGACCTCGAAGGAGAGGAGCGAGTGCGGCGCGGCGAAGACGCCGTAAAAGGTGCGGCAGCAGTGGGGCCAGTAGGAGGAGGCGGCGCCGTCGGAGAGCTGAGCCAGCTGCGTGACGGCGCCCTCTAAGTTGCTGATCGACTCGTCCACGCTGCTGATCGCCGCGTCGACGAGGGAGGCGTCGCAGCGGAAAGAGCGCGCACGGTAGGTGGACGGCTCATGCCCGAACCGCGTCTGCACCACCCAATCGCTCGCGCTGAACTGGTCCATCCGCGGCAGGCCGCTGCCTATGGGAAGGTTTCGACAAGATTCAGGGAAGGTTCGGGGAGGGCGTCCAACCTGCTGCGGGCCGCTGCCGTGCACGTTCAGCACGCACGCCTCGACCGCGCCCAGAGGCACAAAGGGCGCGGGCGTGTCGGCGGGCGAGGCCGGCGTGACTGGCAGGACGCGGTGCAGCGAGGCGTGCAGAGAGCAGGGCGAGCCGGAGCACGGACCTCCCGAGAGCTGCACGCTGGCGGAGGAGGAGACGTCGGCCGAGGCGAGGCCGGCAGACGAGTGGCCAGAGAAGGCAAACTCGGAGGGCGGCTCGAGCTGCGCCTCGCCGATGAGCTCGTCGGTGAGGATGTCGTCGTCCCAGACCGTGATCTGGATCGGGCCGCGGTCGGTCGGGAAGTCGCAGCAGAGCGACGGCCACAGCGGCTCCTGCGTGTTTTGAAGCTTTGTCGAGCGGCAGCAGCCGGAGCCGTCGCTCGCCGTGCTCCGCATCAGCTCGCCCTTCAAGAGGCCTACCCTTCGGCAGTCGTCGGCGGCGACGCTGACGCCGGGGAGGGTCATGACGACGAACGGGTCTGGTGCCGTCGTCGACAGGCTGCCTTTCAGGGCCGCGTCCATCAGAGGCAATCCGCTGGCATTGTGTACGCAGACCTGCATGCGCGACTGTCAGCGAGGAGATGCACGAGAGCGCCACTGTGAGGTGCGCGACCGTGAGCTCGTGCGGTGTGGCCAGCGGCTCGTCGTCGCGTGAGGTCGGGTGGTGGCTTGAGCGAGCGGCCAAGCCTCGCGAGGGGGCCACGAAGATTTCTTTTTTGCGCAACGCTTCTCGCTTATTATCGTAGGTGGCGCGTGGCACAAAGAACGAAAAAGAAATTGAACTATCCCACCCGCACAGCTACCACCGACAATATACCTACACCGACTCTGAGGCGGCGGCAGCGGTCGATCATCGCACTAGCCGCCCACGCACCTACACGGAGCAACCTCCGGCGCCGATGTGGACGCGGCTTACCGCTGATCTGCTCTCGCGAGCGTGGGCAATGCCGACATCTGCGCTTGTGCTCGCAGTTTCCCCCACGCCGGGTTGCACTGACGCAGCAGGCGACGGCCACTTGAGTATCACCTTACCACCTGCTGTAAACGTCCGGGAGGCACGGGCTTGGCTGTTCTGGTTCTGGCCGGATCGGCAACGTCGCTACTACGTGCAGTGTGTCGAGGAGGATTCTGCGCTTGTTGGCGGGTCTGCGATTACGATTCGTTCAGGCCACGCCGGGCACTCGACAGCGGAGTGCACTACCACGTTGTGACCGATATCAACGGCTGCCAAAGCACGTGGGAGTTCACCATAGCATGCGGCGCCGGAGATCTCCTGTCACTCGATAACGACGCGTGGTCGGTGTTGGTGCGGTTTTTGGATGCGCGTGCGGTCGCTGCGCTACTGCGAACAGCAAACTCTCTGCGACAGGAGCCCATGTTTGGCCGGATCCACTTCTTGTGGACCGTCTTTCAGGCACAGGAGCAACTGTAGGAGCATGAGCACCGTCAGCGCAGACGCTCTCTAGATAAAGCGTCAGTTTGTGGGGAACCCGCAATTTGAGATGCTGAGGATCTGAAGTTGCCCGATACGATCTCCATTCTAATCTCGATTGCCTCAGGCGTGGCATGGCGCCGATGCGGGTAGCAGCTCGACCACCCGCTCGTGGCCATGCCGGGCGCCGTACATCAGCGCGGTGCAGCCGTTGCTCCTCTCTGCAGTAGGTTGATCTCCGCGCCGTGCCGTATCAGCAGCTCGACCACCCGCTCGTGGCCTTGGCTGGCGGCGCCCATCAGCGCGGTGCGGCCGTCGCTGCTCTGCAAGTTGACCTCCGCGCCGTGCGAGGAGGAGGGGGAGGGGGAGGAGCAGGGCTTTGACGACGACGAGAACGATGAGGAGGAGCCGTGAGCTGCATGTGGCGCGGGTTTCGGAGAGGCTGCAAGAGAGGAACGCGCAGAGAGGAGTAGGAGAAGAACAGTCTCTTTTTTCGTTGGTTTTTTTTATCGTTTATGTCCAACGCCCCCGCCAGCAGCCCAACCTCGCCGACCAGGCCCGGAGCGACCTGGCCTTGCTGCGCGCCGTCCTCTCCGGGCGACGGACGCCGGCCCCGGTGGCACGCTCGACGCGGCGGCTCGACGCACGACGCCGACCTTGATGTGATACTGCACTAGTCCGTTTTGTTTGCAGTCTCCCGGTCCCGCTTATAGCCACTCATTTCTCGAGTCGGGTTACTCCCCACACCGACGGAGAGCGCACATGACGCATCATGAATGAGCTCCGCTGAAATAAAGTTAAAGTATAAAGACGAAGAAAGACGCAACACAGCCCCCACCAAAGTAGTGAAGTTTTCGTTTTGGCACTTGCCCCGTTGAGCAGCTGCTGCAACATCTGAGTCTGCTGCAGCGTGATATAGCGGTCCGCATGCATGATGGTCGTCTCATGGTCAGGCGGGTCCGAACGAGCACCGAACGAAACGACACGCTCAGGCGAGAAATGTGATGAGCGGATAAATTGGCCGAAAGAAATGGGGACCACGGCGAAAAATAGCCAACATGGTTAGGGTTGCCATAGGCGCACCGAACTTGAGCAGCGCCCAGACGATCATCGCCAGGCACAGATGGAGAGCGGCGAGGCCCATCGACAGGACGGGGCCCCCAATGCTGCCGTAGAACGTTACGCAATATCGTAGCACGCCGACGTCGTTCAACGCTTCGGTGTAGACGAGGTGGACGGCGGACTCGAGTGTGGCCTGAAGAAGAGTGAGAGACGAAACGGCCGCAAGCCCCAAGTAGAGGTGCGCCAGTAGAGGTGAGTCGTCTTCGGCTGCGCGCTGTCGCTCAAGAACATCGGCAGTGCGATGGTAAGCAGCAACGCCCCCACGAGGCCGAGGTGCTGCCAAAGGTTTCGAACCGTCTCTTTGATCTTCGTCTGGTCGGTCTGGTGCACAAGTACTTTGAAAGTGATATGCGGCATGAGCTTCAGCACATGGACTAGCACGCCATGGTACAGTTCCGGACGGGCATTAAGAACGCACAGGTTCTTCGCCCAGCCTCAGGTTCTTAGCTAAGTCGGCGGTCCGTCGGGGGCCGTTTTACCCATCTCCTAGGAGAGGTGTCCGTTTTCTTTACTTATACTTATTTATTCAAAACAGACCCGCTCGATTACATTTATAATGACTCTAACACTCTATACGGTACGTGGTCTCTGCGTAACTCTGTGTCAAGTCTAGTGTCTAGACTCCACGGCTCTCGGTACGCTGTCTACACAACTAGCTAGACAACTAGACGGACTCGGTATAAAGCTGAGTGTGAGTGCAGAGACCAGAGTGCGGGGGGGACGCGTTATGTATTGTATGACGTTGAGAGAGGCGCATGGTCAAACGAGGAAGAAATATTTTAGGCCAAAAATCTGGCGCCGCGCCGCGCAGTACGCTCTACTCTAAAGCCCGGGCTTGACGCGCACGGTGCACGGCGGGGGCCCGTCGCACAGGGCTGGCTCGTCGAGCCAGGTGGGCTCGCCGCCTGCGTCCCGCCACCCGCACACCGCCACCGACAGCCCCTCGAGCACCGCGGCCCCGACTCCGGCGAAGGCCGCGTGCAGCTTCAGCTCGGCGGTTTGGCCTGGCCCGAGCCAGTGCCGCGCCAGCCGCGTGGTGCCCAGCCACGCGTACTGCCCGCCGCCCTCGGCCGCCGCCGACTGGCCGCCCTCCGGCTCTGCGGCGGCGCCGGCCGCGAAGTTGAAGGCGAGGGGCGCGTCGGAGGAGTTGCGGACGTGCAGCGTGACGGGCAGGAGGCACGGCTCGGGCGGGCGGCAGACGGCGCACGACTCGCACACCACGGCGAGGTGCAGCGCCGCCGCGAGCGCCGCGGCCGAGGGCAGCGGGGAGCTGCCCGCCCCGGGCGCTGGCGACCGGCCCGCGAGCCTGCGTTCGGTCCGGAGGCGGAGTGAGGGAGGCGCCCGGCAGGCGCCAACGGCGGGCGCCTGCCTGCCGTTTTGCGCCTTCTCCTCGGGGCGGTTGTGTGCATCTTGGCCGCATCTCGTCCGCATCTCGGCATCTCCGGCCCTATCTCCGGTCCCCTCTCCGCCCCCATCCCCGGTCCCATCTCGGCGCGCCTCCTCGCCGGCGCGGCGAGCGCCAGGTCCACCCCGACGCGCACGCACGTCA